CAATTATTATTGGAAGCTTAGTTCATCAATTATTACAAAAAGTAAATAAATTATAACATTTTTTTTTTATTTTTTCTTTCTATTTATTTTATTTATTTTTTAAATAATTAAGTGGTATTAATATTATAGGCAATACAAAAAAATATTTGTGAATTATCAGATATTACAAAATTAATGGACAATTTATTGCAATCAAAGGATACAACTAATTTACTTTATGCATCACAAATCTCGTTTAATACATGTCGAGAACAAATACTCACATTTGTATCAAAAATATATGAATTTTTACAACATTATGTTAAAGGTGTATAAACTAATATAATTAACATATTTATTATATATATTTTATAATTTTTTATAATATTTATTATATTTTATATTATATATTTATTATCTTTTATTGAAAAATAAGTATACTTGCAGATAAAAAACAACAAAAAATAAATAATATGCAAGATAATTTCAAAGGAAGAATTACTAATATTTGTGATATAGAAGAAAATATCTGGCTTCCTATGTTAGGTTTAAAAGGCAAGATAGATGTTACTGTAGAAGTAAAAATAAATTCAAAAAGGAAAATTATGCCTCTCGAAATTAAGACAGGAAAGCCTTCATTTTCTTTAGAGCATAAAGGTCAGATTATTTTATATATTATAATGATGACTCTTACTCATCAAGATACTGATACTGGTCTTTTACTATATCTCAGGTATTTCAATATTTATATTTTATTTTCAAAATATTTTAAAACTTCATTAAATATTTATTATATTAATAATTTTTATTACAGAGAAAATGTTATGCAAGAGATTAATAGTAAATATTCTGAAAAAAGAGATTTGATATTATTACGAAACAGTTTGGCTAATTATTTCACACCAAAACTAATAGAAAAATCAAGTTTAACTCTTGAATCAGATTGGCAAATATTGGATTTACCAGAACCAATTAATCATCATAGTGCTTGTTCAAAATGTATGTATAATGTATTGTGTTGTATGTATTTAAACAAAGATACTAATACACAATTGTCAAATTCACATCCATTGATTAAGCTTGGAAAACAAATTTTAAGTAAGTTCAAGCCTAGTCATATTGATTATATCTCACAATGGATTTCATTATTACAAATAGAAGAAAATGCACAATCTAGTGAAAATATAAGAAAATATATGTGGACATTAAGTCCAGAAAAGAGGTAAAGTAATTTCTACATTAAAATTTTTATAAAAATGTTTTATTTCAATTAAATAAATTGTTTTATTTTTTAGAGAAGCAAAGAAAATCTGTATCTGTAATTTAAAAATAATAGGAAAAGTTATTGAATACAACTCGAAGTACAAGCATACTTTCATTCGTGCAAATGTAAAAGAACAATTTTCAAATACTAATATTCCTTATATGATATTTTCAGAAAATGAATATGTTTTAATCAATACAAATACAAGGATAAATATATCCACTGGATTTATAGCCCAAAGAAAAGAAGATTCTATCACAATATTATTAGATAGGTATAAAAAGAGAATATATTTTATTTTATTTTTTATCTTTTTTTTTTATAATCTTATCATCTTTTCATTTTATTTTTTTATCTTTTTTTTTTATAATCTTATCATCTTTTAATTTTTTATTTCAGAGATATTACTAAATATAATATAAATGAATTTTTCCACATAGATAAATACTCGTCTTCTAGTTTATTTTCTTTCAATTTTGCAAATATAGGAGGTTTAATGGGTGATAATGAAATTTGCGAAAAATTACGTAATATTGTGATAGATAGGTTTGCAAAATTTATTGACTATTTTAATAAATCTTTGTAAATTAATTTTTATATTAAATTTTTTTTTATATTAGAAAGCCAGCTACATTCGAAAAAGAATTATCACATTTTACTATACATAAAATTACTAAAGAATTACAAGATTTAAATAAAAATCAGCAAAGAGCTGTTTTAAAAGCGATATCTGCGAATGATTATTTTTTAATCAAAGGAATGCCTGGTACAGGAAAAACTCAGACATTAGTAGCATTGATAGAAATATTGCACAAAATAGGACACTCTATTTTAATTACTGCACATACAAATAGTGCTGTTGACAATATTTTATTAAAATTATTAGACAAGGATATTGATTTTTTGCGATTGGGCTCATCTGTTCATCCATCTTTAAAATGTAAAAGTGAAGAATATGTTACATCAAATTGTCATTCACCAGAAAGCTTGGAAGCAATATATTCAAATAAAGTATGAAATATTTTAACATATTTACTATAATAAAATTTATTATAATATTTACTAATAAAATTATTGTTGATTAATTATGCAAATTAAAAAAGATTTAAAAAAATCATTTAATATTCTAATATTTTATAAATATTACTTACAAAAAAATTTTTTTTTATAATGTTAGAAATAAACAAATTGATAATTTTTATTATAATTAATTTTATTTTATAATTTTATGTTTATAATGCTATAGAATATAATTGGAGTAACATGTTATGGTGCTCACCATGCACTTCTTGGAAGACGTATATTTGATATATGCCTTGTAGATGAAAGTGCTCAAGCATTGCAGCCATCTATATTACGACCATTATACAGTGCAAAAAAATTTGTTCTTGTAGGAGATCCTAATCAATTACCACCTATTATTAAAAGCAAATGGGCTAGGTGCAATAGAATTTTTTAAAATAGATTAATAGATTTTATATTATATTAATTAATATAAATAATGTATTAAATTAATTTTTATATAAAAATTTATTTATGTAAATTATTATGTTAATTTATAATTATTAAATTATTTTTTATAGAAAACTGGGTGCAGATGAGTCTTTATTTGCTCGACTTGATAGCGAAAATAATACTGTTAACTTGACAAAACAATATAGAATGAATAAAAATATAATGTTCTTAGCAAACAAATTAACATATAATGATATGTTAGAAGCAGGAAATACATCAATAGAAAATGCTATTTTTGTTTCACCACATAAAAATATGAATGTAATAAATAAAATATGCTTTATTATTCTATTTACATAAAATAATAAAATTATATTTCAGATTTTAATGAAAGAACAAAAATGGATACAAAAAGTATTATCATCAGATATAAATGATTCTGTAATTATAATAAACACAGGATGTACCAGTAAATTAAAAGTAAACTGTGATATTAATGCTAAATATTCAGAAAGTAATCAAGTCAATTCAAACATTTGGGAAGCCATTATAGTATTAAAATTAGTGCAAACTCTTTTAAAGGTGATATTTAATAATATTTTTCATAATTTTATCTTTTGTATTAAATATTTAAATATGATATTTAAATATTCAGATGCAAATTGAACTTGATGAAATTGGTATTATTGCGCCATATAGGGCTCACGTTAATTTGTTAAAAAAAATAATTATTAAAGATATAGAAATAAATACTGTTGATCAATATCAAGGGAGAGATAAACAGATTATAATTTATTCTTGTGCAAAGAGTTTACTTAATAATAGAGACATAGAAGAGGTAACATATTTAAATTTTACATTATATAAATTACATTACATTACATTATATATACATTACATTACATTACATTATATATTACATTATACATTATATAAAATTATATAAATTAAAAGTATTCAAAGTAATTTTTTTTTAAATTTAGGATATTGAAGTATTAGGGGATTATCGAAGATTAACAGTAGCAATAACAAGAGCAAAATGTAAATTAATTGTTATTGCAGATAAAAATACTTTATCTCAATTTTCAGCATTTAAAAAATTATTTGATCTAATTGAAGATAGAAATATAATAAATTTAATGGAATGTTTTGATGATTTTTCATGGAAAGAACTTTATGTATGTACTTTATAATGCACTTATATATTTGCTTGTATTTATTTTTGTTGTACTTTTATATTTTTATTATTATATTGTACTATGTATTTATAATTCATTGTAATATTCTTATTGATGAATGAATTATTTAGAAAAATAAAAATTTTTATAATTTCATAATAAAATTTGGTATAAAAATAAACAGTATTTGTAATTCAATAAAATTATATTAATGGATATAGATTAAGTTTTTATGAAATATTTTGTATATTATTTAATTTATATTATATTTATTGAAAAGTATACTTTTCAATTTTTAATTAATAAAATATTTGCAATTATATATATATAAAATATTAATCTAAGTTCAAATTATTTGAGATATATTGAGATTGATAATGCATTAATATTTTGAGCATAAAATTGATAAGATATATCATGAAATAATAATTATAAAATATTTTTTAATAACTCGGTAAGATATTTAATCAATATATCTTATATATCTTTTATTTTATTTTTTTGTTAATTAATTAGTTGGTAATCTTTTAATTAGCTAATAAATTCAAAATAGTGTTAATTAAGATTATAATCTTATCAATTAATGATTTCATAATCTTTTTAATTAATTAATTTATAATATAATCAAGATTATGAAATTTATTTTAAAAATTGAAATGTATTTCAATATCTATTTATCACATATATGAAGATCACATGTTCATAAGTTTTCATTTTTTCTTTGTAAAGTATTTATTTATCGTAAGATAGATACTTCATATTGATATCAAATGATTTTTTTTAGTTCAGTATTTTATTTAAAAAATTATTTAATTTATTAAATATATTTAAAAAAGGAATATATATTAACTATAATTATTATAAAATTAATTATTTGATATATGTAAATTATTTGATATGTGTAAATTTCTGTAAATTTTTTTTTTGTTCTTTAGATATAAATTTAATGGAAATATTTTCAATATCAAAATTATTTTTAATTTTTATATTATATTTTTTTCATTTTTATAATATATTTATTTCTAAAATAAAATATTCGTGAAATTTTTTCAGATATTTTACTTAAAATTCTTATTTTTTTGTACAAATAACTATAAATATAAATATAGTTAATGCTATTGTCGCAATTGCAAACATAATCATTCGTGCTTTTGTCGAATGTTGACTGTTGTCTCATTTGTTTCTATATATCTTGAAAAATTCTGCATATTTTCTAAATTTTTAATTATATTTAATCGTTTTATATAAATAAATTATGAATATCATTAAAATTCGATCCTTTCGATCCATATCCACAGGACCTACTCTTCGAAATCGGTATCTAACCTATATATCAATTTTAAATATTTGACACTTAAATATATATGATATAATATAATTAATATAAATAATGTTTCTTAAAATATATAGTTATCAAAAAATTTTCTAATTTGCAATTTTAGATTGACCGAACAAACTGATCAATTAACAAAATCTAGTTTAATAAAAAAATCAACAGTTGATCTTGCAGATATAGATCATTTTTCTAAATTACACAATAAGTGGTGGGATGTCAATGGTGAAATACGTCCGTTGCATGCATTGAATCCTCTTAGGATACAACTTATTCGAGATGGCTTAGCAAATATAGGAGTCAAAATAGAATGTCCTTATTTACCATTAGAAGGAATCAAAATTCTAGATGTTGGTTGTGGTGGAGGATTATTATCAGAATCTTTAGCCAGAATAGGAGCAGATGTAACTGGGATTGATGCTTCATCAGAGTTAATAACAGCTGCAAAACAGCATGCTGTTTTAGATGCTAGTTTAGATGGAAAATTAAATTATTTCCAAACAATAATTGAAGATTTTGCTCTAAATAATAAAGAAGCATATAATGCTGTAGTGGCTTCAGAAGTTATAGAACATGTAAATAATAAAGAATTATTTCTAAAGGTATAGTCATATTTTATATAAATTTTGATATAAATTTTATATTAAAAAAGAAAAAAATTAATAATGAAAAAGCCATATATTTGCTTTTTATAGTGTTGCATAAGTTCTTTAAAACCTGGTGGTTCAATATTTCTTACAACTATTAATAAAACTTTACCTTCATGGCTTGGAGGAATAATTGCAGCTGAACGTATTTTAAAAGTAGTACCAAAGGGTACTCATGATTGGAATAAATTTGTCACTCCTACGGAAATGCAATCTTTATTAGAAACATGTATTTTTTATTATATTATATTTTATTTTTTTTATAAATAATTATATAAAACTTTTATATAATTATATATTATAATTTTATATTAGAATTTCTTAAATGAATTAGAATATTTTAAATGAATTGATGATCCTTTTCTAGATGGTTGCAAGACAAAATTGATACATGGAATGTTTTATAATGTTTTAAAAAACGAATGGTCTTGGATGGCTTCAACAGCAATAAATTATGCAATTCATGCAGTAAAAAAAAAGGAACAAAAATAAATAACATATTCTATTATTTGTAGATTTGTTTTATACTTCACGTGATATTAATACATTTGAGAAATTATTTTATTTTATAATATTATGTGATATTCTATGTAAATTATTATAATTTATGATGACTTGTAGTTTCGTATTTAAATTTTAATCATGATGTTTCATATCATTAAAAAATGAATTATTGATCAATTATTTATGAAATAATAACACAGGATATGACATGAAAAAAATTTATTACTTTTATCTTTGTAATATAGTATACATTTTGTTATAGATGACTAATTTACATTTACAATTTATTTTATATTTATATATTGATTATAGTATCTATTACATTTATTTTCATTAATAAAACTATTATACATATTATATATACAAAAAGCGGAAAAATATTAAAAATAATCAAATGTAAAAACATAAAATTATGCAAAAAGATATATTAACAAAAATTATATAATTTAAAATTTAAGATTTTAATTAGTATATATTTTTAGATATTTATTTTGCTTTAGCAAAACCAACACGATTATTTCCCATATCAAATTCAGTATAATAATAACCAATGAAAACATCTCCCAAAATCCATAGTGGACCATTTGGTGGAGGAATATCCATTCCCATAAATCCACTAAGACAAACAGTCTTTCCAAATTGTGTAACCTTTAATAAAAAAAAAAAAAAGAACAATATTATTTTGTTATATTAAAATTAAAATTTTTCACAATCTTAATTGTAAAAATAAAATTAAAGTATATTTATTTTACCTTCAAGACATAGTCTTCTCCTTTCAGAGAGAAAGATTTACCACCAAGTATGAAATTAATTGTAGGCAAATTAGGAATGGAATTACAGTCTATCATTGCTTCTCCAGCTGCAATGGGAGTAGCTCCAATTGCTTTATTGATAGCTTCAATTTCTTTAACTGGTCCAGCAATGAGGGAAGTACCTGTATCTGCAATAGCTTCACATCCTTGTTGACAAACTTTTAAATCTGATCCAATTTGAATACTAAAATTCAAAAATATTAATTTTTTTTTTAATTTACGAAAAAATTATAAATAATTTTTTTAAAAAATTTATTTTCATATATTAAATACCTATCCATTTTAAATTGCCAATATCCCTTTTTATCTACAGGAACATAGGTGAAAGAACCTTCATAATGGTTTGGATCTGAACCACCCAATATCAATTCTCCACCATATTTATCATCAGGATTTCTTCAATTAATAAATTAATACAATTTATAAATTATTAACTTATTTCGTTTCATAAAAATTTTGAGTAATTTTTGAGTAATTTTTAAAATACCTGTTTAAATAAAAACTGAAAACAGGTTGAGGTACTAATCCTTGTTTAACCATGTTGTAAAAAACAGGTGTTACACCATCAACAGCAATTTTAGAATAAGCCATTCCTAAAATACCATCAAATTTAGCAGCAACAAAAGCCAATCCAGGTTCACTCAAAGCTTCAGCAAAAGTTTGATCAGAAATTTTCATTCCTGCAATCTGTAAAATTTATTATTCTTTAATTAATTTTTTTTTTTTAATTTTCTTTTTTTACTAAATTATTAAATTATATTCAATTAAAAGATAGAAATGTATAATTTCTTAAAAATATATTATAATGTTATTATATATTATTGTATATAAGTGAATTATTTCTTAAAAATTTTTTAAAAATAATTTTTAAAAAATATTTCTATTATTATTTAAAGATATAGAAACAAAAAGATTATAGATTATAAAAATAAAAATTATGAACAATAATATAATTATATAATTAATAGGAAATAAAAATAATATCAATAATTATAAAAAGTAAAAATATGCATATATAGATACTTACATCTACAGTATCAGTGGAGAGATAGCCAGAGAGACTTCCAGAGCCATAACGAATTGCAAAGTCAGTACCATTTTTCTTGTACGTAGATGATTTGCTGTTATCATATTTACGATGTAATTCTGAAAATAATACATATACAAAAAGAAATTATGAAATTTTAATTAAATAAAGAACTTTTTTATTATTAATTTATAAACATTTGATAATATATAATATAATGATATATCATTTTTTCAGTAATGGAAAAAAACATATAATTATCATTATTTAGAAAATAAATTTATTTAAATATAAATTAATAAATTAAATCATAATGTAATTATGTTTATCTTATTAATATACTTAAAACTTAAAACTTATGTTATAAATAAACATAATTATCAAAAAGTTTCTATTTTTTATTGTTTTATTTTTCCATCAGATTTATAAATTAAAAGTTTGATTTTTATATTTAATATTTTATATTTATATTATATTTAATATATTTATTTTATATTTAATATACTTATATTGTAGCTTTAAATTAAAACTCATATCATATTGAATTATAAAATAAATATATGAATTATAAAAAATAAATAACATTATGAACAAAATAAAATATAAAATATAAAAAAATGATAAAGTTTTAATTATTTTTGAAAATATACTTACTGCAAGCAATATTGGTAAGATGACATTTTTTAGAGGGGACCCAGAGATTTGAGGAACCAGTATCAAAGATTACTCTGAAATCTTGTGGAGGAGTTCCAATGCTAATAACACCATAGTATTGAGCATCTAAGTAGTTAGAAAGAGGTTCTGGTTGAGGAAAATCTCCTTGCAATATATGTGTTTGATATATTTCTGTGTTATATTCTTTGAATTGTTTCCTAATGCTATCAATTTTGTGCAAGGGAATCCTTAAAAAAAATTTTTTAAATCTATTTTAAAGTGCACTTTGTAAATCTTATCGAATAATTAATTATTTATATAATTAGTAAATTTTAAAAAAATTTTTTTTAAAAACAGTAATTGTTTTTGTACAAAAACGAATAATAATATTTTTTTCATTATATTTACCTCGTAACATCAGCATTGGCTATCGCTATAAAAGCGCAAAAGCACAGAATGGCACGAAACATTTTTAAATAAGTTTCCAGTGCCTTTAAAATTAAAAGAATAAGTTATGTATTAAATATAGCACTACAAAAAAAATTTCTTTCTTTCAGAGATATTTTGCGCAACTCTGTCGAATATAACACTGATACATTTAGAATGAAAACCTCTCTAATAAAGAATTCTCTGAGATTGTTGGAACTTATTGCGCATGTGTAACTTGGATCAACATATCTGTATATTATATACGAATTTGATATTTAAAATCATTTTAAATATATTAAAAAAGAAATATATATATATTGAAAAATTAATATATATTTACATTAAATATTGCTTAAAAATGTTTATAAATATTTCTTCAAATATAGTAATGGAAAAAATTTGAAATTTAAAAAAATTATTACATTATAGCTACGTTACTGTTGTCACAATCAGCTGATTAAACATATACATATACAATATATATGCTATACTAATTACGAAGAAATAAAATATTCATATACATGCAAAGTGATATAGTAATGAATGTATCAACTTTATACTTGGACCATATATATTTTAGTTTTACTGATATATATAGTCTAAAACTTTGATAGCGCCATCTTGTAAAATAATGATTCAATTTATTCTGTTATAGCGCCATCTTGTAATATAATTAATTATTCAATTTAAAGAAATGATTTGAAATTAAAATATTTTATTCTATGTTATTAAATTAAATAACTTCTGTATGTTCTGTAAAAATAAAATTACATAAAATATATATTATAATAGAATATTATTTAAAATTTATAAAAATTCTTCACATTTTCAATTTACATATAATCAATAGAATGTATATTGAAAGACATATATTTTTGATTTACAAATACATTATTGGTATGAATTTACAATTTATAATTTAATTTTACAAGAGCATACATTTTTGCGAATTGTGTATGTTTTTGTTAATATTTCAAAACATATTTTGAAAACTTAAAATACTTTAATATACATAATCAATATAAACTTCGCAATAAATATTTTAATGTATATCATTAATTTTTTGAGATTCTATATAAAAGAAATGAAAGTTTAAGCAATAAAAAATAAAAAAACATCGTTGTAACTTGAATTTCAAGAAAAAATTCCGTATCGATTACTCGAATTTATGTTTACGCGGGTTGCTACCAGCAAAGCATTCTGGGTTGATAGAAGACCGTGATAGAAGACCCTAATCGTGGGCCAATCAGTGGACAGGATCACAGTACGGACACTTCAGTCTTGAACTCAATCAAGGAATAGTCGCTGTCGGCTTGAGCGAGCAAAATTTTTGTGTAAATCAATTCACATAGAAAAAAATAAGTATACATAACTTCCGGGCCAGGATATAACGATCTTTTTCCTTGTGTATTAGTTGGTGAAAGTGTTATTTTAAAAGGTATATCGCGTGTTATATAAATGAAAATGTATTTTTTCATTTCCGACCGCGTAACCAATTCTTATGTCAAAATCAGTTTTGGATTTCTGATAATTCTATTCTCTTTGGCGTGTTGATAATTCTTAAATGAGCATTTTTAACTTAATGCTCTGATTGCGATGTTTGTGTGTTTACGAATTATTATTCCCATCATCGTATATTGATAAAACATTATCCTCCCGCGTTTCGTCTTTATAGTTCTGTTTTCTACAATTGTATTCTGCTTATTAAACATATCTGATTCTTTTTTTGATTTTATAGCATCAATTCTATGATTTGTCATGCTAGCAAATGATATATATGCTACTGTCAAAATTGCACGCATTCATTTTTCCAGGTTTAATCTGTAATATCTTCATCTTTTGATATGACAAAAAAAATGCATAGTTGTCTCTTAACAATATTAGCTTTTTATATTTTTATTGAACGAAATATATTAAGACATACGAAAAATTTCTTTTTTCTTGTTAATTTCAGAGCTACGAAAATGTCAGACAGAAAGGCTGTGATCAAGAATGCTGATATGTCTGAGGAGATGCAGCAGGATGCTGTTGACTGTGCAACTCAAGCCCTTGAAAAATATAACATAGAAAAGGTATATTTAGTAAATAGTTGAAGTAAAATTTTATTCCATATATTGTATATGTAATGAAAAATTATATGCATATTTGAAAAAAGATATAAAAGAGCTTATTTAAATATAATAATGAGTAGAATGAAAGAACAAGTTAATAACAGTTTCAAAGATAAAAAAAATTGTTAATAAATTGATTTAATTTTTTGTTTCAGGATATTGCAGCCTTTATTAAAAAAGAATTCGATAAAAAATATAATCCAACGTGGCATTGCATTGTAGGTCGTAATTTTGGAAGCTATGTGACACATGAAACAAGACATTTTATCTATTTTTATCTGGGTCAAGTAGCAATTCTCCTTTTCAAGAGTGGATAAATTGGAATCTATTCTATAATCACCATCCTTTCTTCCTCCCTTCACACATGCTACATGGAAATACCTTAAGTCACATCACTGTCTGTAAGAGAAATTACAATATCGTGTATAATGAAAATTTGTTTTGCAAACAAGATATGCACTCCCAGTTAAACAAAAAAGTATAAGTATATAACAACCATCAATACTATTGACTTTGCTGTTTTACTTATCTCAGGAGATAAGACAATGATGAAAAATTCTGTAGAAGCTATGGGGAAAAAGGGTAGGGAGATGATTAACTGAATGAGAAGAAAATGAAAAAACTCAAAACTGAAAAAAATCAATTGACATACAATCTTACATGTTAAAATGTATCATGTATGCCAGAAAATTTGTTGTGTTCTTGTTTTATATTAGGTATATATAATGCGAAGTTGAGTTCAATACTGGCGATTTTAAATTAATAAATTTTTAGTGTTTAATACACTAAGTGCATCTAAGTATAATGTAATGTTCATACAAATTCATGTATGATTTTTATTATCTTACTATGCTTGAGGAAACTGTATCCAGTAGTCATCAATAATGAATGTAAGCCAAACCTTGATTGATTGCTGCGATCATTATTATTTTACGTAATGTTGTAAATTATCCCTTTATTCTGTGATGCTATATAAACAAAAACGGTTACAAAATCAACTTTGATTCGTTTGAATCCTGACATGACAATTTTTACATCTATAAAAATTCGAGAATTGGAGATTGAGAGAAAGCTTAATTATCGACATGCACCGAATTAAATAAAATTATTTAAATTTACACAGCACTAAGTAAGATGTTGCATAATATTGAAAGCGAGTCATTATCATAATTTTAATTTTTTATATTATGCACACTGAATTTTGCAAATGTATTATTCATAAGTCAAGATACATTTAAAGAATTTTCTTTTCCCCTCTTTTGTTTTTTGTTTTGAAAAAAAATAGATATTCATTAAATTCTATCCTTTATGTAACATCTAATATCCAATATTATGGTACTTATATATATATATATATATATATATATATATATATATATATTAAAATATAGATTATACATATATATTAAACTATTTATATATAGTGCAATCTTCATTTTCAGTATTTGATTATCACAACGTTGCTACATTGTTCAAGTTTTAGACTGATTATTAAACATTGTCATAAATATATGACTTGCATGGTTCTTTTTATAAAACTTCACAAGTCATTTTTATAATATGCATATGCAACATTATTATAAGAATTTAAAAAATGTTACATTAATATCAAAAAGCAGAAACGAAACAGAATTAATCACACTTTTGATCATAGCAAATAGTCAAATGTCAGTGAATATTTTTCTTTGATTATCTTTGATATACATTCTCTTTCGCGTCTTAACTTATATAAACGAATGAAAAATTGTTCTGATAAAGAATACAAAAAAAAACTGACACACTATTTAGTGTTGAAGTTTGTTAAATAAGAAAATTAAAATACAGTTAATATTATGGAAAATTATGCTCAAATCAATTTATGCATTATTGATAAATTATGAATTGTCATAAAATCAAATATATATATATATATATATATATATATATATTTGATTTCATGACTATATATATATGCTGTATTATCAAAGATGAAGTAAATTCATAAACTAATTCCCAAATTTTTTCATATCAAAATTGTGTAATTGTTAAAAAATAAAGGAAATGAAAGCACTACAATTTTATATGACAAAAAAAAAAAGATCGTACGTTATATTTAAATATATATTTAAAGAAGAAAAAGAAGAAAAGAAAAGGCAATATGATCTCTGTCGTTATCTGCTAATTATAATCTTGTGCTGGATAAATTTCCTTTTAATAAAACTGATTATGATTCTTAAACTATATTTGGCATTCTATCTAATGCTTTATTTACCATGAAATATAAAAAAACTACTATATTAATAGAAACTTCAAATTAAAATCTTAATTTCTAACTTAATTGTATAATTTTAATTATAATTAGTTTTTTATACATAAATCTAGTCATTAAAATATTTAATGACTTAATGTATTTAATATATTTAACTATTAATTTTAACATTATATATAAAATATACAATTCCGTATGCTGTATGCAATAATGCTGTCTATTAATATAATTGGAGTACAAATTGCCATAAAATCGATACATGCATATAAACTATGTCGAATAATTGATATAATTTAAAAATAATGGGATCGTATATTACATTCAATTAACAACTAATTTTAAACGAAATCTCTAATAATTTAAATATATATAGAAAATTTCTTAAACACGATATACATACGTGGAGTTTTGCATACTTTTAGAAAGAAAGAGAAATGCAACGTGATCAGTTGCCAAGACAACGGTTTATAACAACAAAACATTTCTCTAATTTAATTAGTTATTTCTAAGTTAAATAGTTCAGAATCTTTGAAGAAGAGAAAAAACTAAAACATAATGAAAGAGAACATTAAATTTATTGTGACAGAGGTGAACAAATTGTTGGGACGTAATTATAATGTGATTTATTTCAATTCTCTAAGTTCAGAGGAATTGCTTCAAGTAAGAATTGATATTATGATATTTTCTTTTTATTGACAAATTTAATTTTTGAATAAGTTAAAAAATTATATCATTTAAGATTATTTTATTTATAAAGTTGCATTGTAGGTATTGAAGGAGTTGTTGATTAAAATACAATCAAATCAAAATATTGATGGTAATGTTAATATAAAAAATGAGACTTCTGAAGAAATTTCCATTTATATTTTATCTATTCTGCGTATATTTCATTATCAGCCACGAATAGATCCTGTGAACTTTAGGCAAGTTTTTTATTTCATTTTAACTACTTTGTTACGAATTGATTGTATTTATTTTTGTATATGGATAGACAAGGTCTGGTTCGTGGAGATTCTGATATTATTCATCCTATTTTTACCTGGCTTCTATCTCACATAGATGTGGTTCAAAAAAGAGCTTATTTATCACGCTTTTTAGTGAAGGTATACATATATGTTTATATATGTATGCATATGTATCAATACTTACTTATTTTCATAAAATTATTTCTGAATATAATTTTATTATAATTAATTAGATAGAGGTTCCTAGCGAATATTTAAGCGATCCAGAAGTTTTCGCTTTTTATGAACAATACATGACTTTGATTGATAGATTTAAAACAATGCATAAGGAAAGAGAAATAGGAAAGAAGGTAATAGATCATATTGATATTATTTTATTTTATTTTTTATTTATTAAAATTGTTTCTTAATTCTGTTTTCACAAACATAGAATTATGAGAATACTAGTGAGCTTACTACTGATTTAAAAACAATGGAAAAAGAAAAAGAAGTGAGTATATTTATTTATAGATTTTAGTCTCTTCTTTCATTCGAAATAATTTAATTATGTAGGCAGTAATTATACGTATCGAAAAAATGAGAATGAAAGCTGAAACTGGAATGCATTTATTGGATGTTGCCCGAGCTTTGCGAATAGAAAAAGATAAAGAACGTGATTTAGTATTGCAAGAGGAGCAAGAAAAAGAAATAATATCTAGATTACAAGTATAATATGTTTAATAATTGAAAAATTTAAGATTTATTTCAACTTTAATAAAAATTATATAATATGTACAAATTTTAGTCTAATTTACAAAGATTGGAAAGAGAATTACAAACCTTAAAAAAAGATGAAGATGAAATTACAGTTCAAACATTATTTCAACATTTATCTGAAGTAATTATTGTTCAAACTGTAGTTACGAATGAAAAATTACCGACAGAAATACATGCAAAGACAAATCGTATAAAAGCCTTGAACATAGTAAAACAGTATTCGTATTTGAATCCAGATCAAATAACGGGTCTACGAAATAATTTGGATAGTATAGCCAAAGAAATTCAGAATTTAATAGAATTAAAGGTAAACATCAGTTTTATAATATATTATATCTTTTATCTATGAATATATTTAGAATTTGATAATAAATTTATTTAGATTACAAAAAATAATATTGATAAAATAGAACCATTTCGACAACAAGCAGCTGCAGTTGCAAATATAAAAAGAAATGTTCTTGAAAAATTGGAAAAGACAGCGAATTCTTTGCAAGAATTGCAGACAAAATTAGAAGAAAAACGCGAATTATCAAAATTGATAGTAGAAGATATTCCTAAAGGAGAAGATTTCAAAAAATATATAAATCGTTTAAAAACTAGGGGAACACTTTATAAACATTGTAAATCTGAATTGACATGGTTTAATGCGGAGAACAGTATATTATATCGAACAGCCGCCATCTTAGAAAATCAGGTATTTTTTACAATATTATGTTATTTGTTTAAATAATAATAAATAATAATAATTACTTCTAATAGTATAATCAATGCAACCGGGCGAAAGAAAGATTGGAAACGATTAAGAAAAATACTCTAAATTTCACAGAAGAGAATGCATCTTCGATGAATCTTCAATTATGTCGAGATATATCCGCCTTTAAAGCAAAATTAATTCCATTGATAAATGGTATGAATACATATTAAAATATGATAAAAAAAATTCAAATATTTTTAATATATATAATATATTATATTATATTATTATAGAAGTGCAGACATTGAGAGAAAAATATCATGAATTTGAACAACAACAAGAGAAAACGAAAAAAGTGCAAGACCAAATAAAATCGAATATGAATATCTTAATAAATAATTTACAATCTGAATTGGAAAGTAGAAAAACAAAACTAAAAAAGGTAATCAATATAATGTCTATTCTATTTGATATTTTTATTTTATTCTCTTAATTATTCTATCAAAAGGATATTGAAGAAAAAGAAGAATTACTAAAACTCATAGCTAAAATGAAGATTATAGAAGAAAGAATAAAACGGGATATAAAAGTTAATTAAATTTTATATATTATAGTTAAATAATTTTTCATACATGTAATTAAGTATTATTATATAGGATCCTACAATTTCTAATCCTGGTAAAAAGATAAGAGAAGAATTAAATTTCATTATTCAAGCAGAAGAAACAAAGATAAAAAGTTTAATAATGGAAAAAGAACATATAAAAGAAATTAATTTAGTAAATGAAAAACAAACACAGATGTGGAATAATATATTATTGTAAGTAAAAATATCGTATATTTTAAATTAAAAAAAAAAATTAATATTCTATAAGATACATATAAAAATATATTTTTTTAGAGTATTTAAATATAAAATTAAATACGCTGAGGAAAGTAAAGCATCAAATGGAATTGTCGTACGACGAGGAGGAGCAGAAACTTTAATTTTACAATAATATTTATTGTATATACAACAAAGGTATATTATATGTATTGTATTATAATATATATATATTACAATTAACAAAATTTTAATTACTCATAATTACAAAAAAAGTAGATTATCTGATTACTAAATTTATTATTATATTTATTATTATAGTTATTAATTAATCAATTCACAAATCAATTTTAAAATCTAAGAATTAAATTGAAATTTTCATCTAAAATAACTTCAAAATATTTTTTATAAAGATCATAATTTATTATTTTTATAAAATATTTTTTTAAATTAAAAATTTTAATAATTTATTAATTTGAAGAAAGTAGAATATGCTAAAATGTCACATATATATTTAATATCACATTTTTATAAATATTTTATTTCTGAAATACATACATTTTAAATGTATTTCGTTAGAATTCATTATATTATATTTGTATTAAATATAATATATTTTTATTATATTTTTGTATTAAATATATCATTCTACATAATTAAATTTATTATTTACAATAAATATCAAAATATCAAAAAATTGAATTAAATGAAATCATAGTTTTAAAATAATAAATTTTTTTTTTAATTTTGAATTAGAAAGAACCAGAGTCAAAAGTAACATTAGGTGAAAATAATATTATAAATGATTGAAAATTTATTATCAGAAATTTTGAATTTATGATACAAAATTATAATTAAAATACATACATGTTGTAATAATATAAATATATTATAAATATAAATAATGAATAAAATTTTCTTAATTAAAATTATGATATAAATATTACAAATAAATGTTTTTCTTTTTTTTTTATTTTTAATTTAATTTTTTTGAATATAATAGTAATTATTATTCAATACATTTAAACGTCTCGTAAAACAAATTAGTAATTTATGTTTATGTTTATAATTTATGTTATTTAAGAACATAATATATAACAGTAGCATATTCAATACAATATTATTACTATGTTTGCTTTTACAAATGAAAAATGAATATAATGTATGAAATACAATGAATTGGACATGAAAAATGTATTAAATAATAATTTGTTAGACATAATTAAGAAAATCGATATAAATCGATATAAATCAAAATAATCGATAAAAAATTTTTATGAAGTTGAAATTTTTTAAAGAATTTCATTTACATTTATATTATAGTCTTTTTTTTTATATGAATATATTTAATTTTATTATTTTTATTTCATTTATCATTAAACTTAGTTTAATTAATATTTTGATTTTAGAATTTCACAAAGAAAATTATTATTATAATTACTATCGATTAAACATATTGTTTTAACAATGTGTTTTAATAGAATATATATGAAATAGTTGTAATATTTTTTTTGATTTCAATTTTTTATATTTAATTTAAATATTATTTATGATAAAAATAAAGTTTATAAGATTATCATATAAAAATTTTTCTTCTAAATGTATATTTTTTTATATGATTATTTATATTTATTTATATATTGTTATTTACATATTGATTTTATATAAATTCAAAATCAAATTGTTACTTTTGACTCAGGTTTTTTCTATATTTTTTTTCATAACAATTTTTATTCAGCTTTGATTATGTATATTAAAAATTAAAGATTTTTTTTAGAATTCAAATATCTTTTGATTGATTATTAATATTAAATGATATGTTATCGAGATCTGCACATAAAGTTAATTATTATAATTTTTATATTCGAAAAAAAAAATTATATATTTTTTTTAAATAGATTCAAAAATAGTTCTTAAAATAATATCTTAATTATTTGAATCAATGTTTCATTTGAAAATAGAATAAAATCGTAAATAGAATAAATATAATACTATTATCTAATATATAATAAATGCAATAATAAAATAATATATATATATTTTTATATATCTTTGCGTAAAATTTTTAATTTTACTAGTAGAAAATGAACTATAAGAATACTTATGAAAAATTGTTTAAATCTTTAAATAATTTCTCCTGTCTTTTTTAATTTTTCCTTTTTTTTTTTGTATATCATCATACAACACGAAAGTAATAGAATTTCATTTTTTATATTTCTATCATAACATGAAATACTTAACATGTTTATTCGTTATTATGAGCCAAAAAATATGTTTTGGTTCACAAAATTTATCGTGAAATAATACGCAAACTATGCGTGTGATATAATAAATCAATGTTTCTATAAATACTATATACACAGAATTTTTTTCATATTCGAAACGATAAGTGGAAATACTTATATCTTATCTCCATTCAATATTCACATCAATATAATAAACGAATATAATATGATAATGGTAGATATGAATATATAATAATAATTAAGAAAAAATTTTTGCGAGTATAAGAAAAATATTCTAATTATTACTAAATATTATTATGCAATTATTTTTAATAATTCACAGCATTTAAAGTATTTTTTTTTCTGACTTGACATAATTACATACAGATGGATAATATTCATTAAAAGATTATAAATGCAATAAGTATCGACTATAATAAATCATAAAGAATGAGGTAAAAATTTTTGCCTTAAGAAAGTGGCAGTGTTTAGGACTTTTAGTTTTACGATTATTATAAATTTTTCAATGAGATACATTATACCTATTTTAAAACAATTATACTAAACTAAAACATATAATTTATAGTATGACATATTAAAGTATATAAATTATTATCTTCATCATAACATATAATGCTGTACATTAATGTTGTACAAATTAATCTTTTAATAATAACCCTATCTCCGTACTTTCGTCGTATTTTGTGTTTCATTTTAACTATGTTGAGCAGTATAATATAAATTCATAATATTTATAGTCTATAAAGACAAAATTTTCTCTTAATCTTTCATTAAGGCTACGTCATTTTTTTTATCGTTGTTGATATTATTATTATTGTTATTATTATTTTTAGAACCAACTGCACTCAAAGCTATTCCTAATTGAGCTGCATAGTACGTTAACATTATAGAAACCTGAAAAATAGCTTTAAGTAATTAATAAAAAAAATCATATTGAAAAATTTATTTATAAGAATATTATATAATCACTATACCTGAGAATAAGGTAATGGTGTATGAAAATAATGAAATCCAAGTAAAGTATCAGATATAAGGAAACATATACTGCCAATGCAGCTACATAATTTAGTCCACGTCCATAATTCCTGACGAAGGAATATGATTTATTCGATAAATCGTGCATAAAAAAGTGGAAATTTTATTATTTTTTAACACAATGTTTTCCAATTCTATATTATTCTTTTATGAATGTGATAGGAAAGTTAATAATAATAATATATTTTTAATCTAAATAATCTAATAACTTTTTAAAATCATTATTTATTTATATAACATAATTTCTTTTTCATTATTTTCGAAACGATGAAAAAAAAAAACGTGGTATATCATGCAAGTATGTTTTTTGGTATAAATTATTTTATTTATTATATTTCTACATGATTTGTCGCATCAATGTCTAATCAAATCAGTGAATCATATTATATTCAACATAACATGTAACTTAATTGATCTATTAATTTTGTATTAAATAAAGAGATAAAAGCAGCATAATCCGTAAAATTTTTAATAAATTAATATTGGAAAACATCATGTAAACAAAACGATTTTTTTAAATTTTTTCTATACTTTGTAAAATTGTACTCTAGAAATTGCTCTCCATGCCATAGTAGTTAATAATACCGTGTAAACTGGAACTCCAATAACCAGAATTCCATTTAGACCAGGCATTAAAGTATATATGACTGAAAAATATGATTTGTTTTATTTCGTCAAAATTTATTCAATTTCTTCAATGATATTATCAAAAATCTATCATTGATAATATTTTCATTATTTACTATTATATATTTTTATAATGAGAATATTTATTATTTTTATGGATAACACACATATCTTACCTAGCGAACACATCGCATATAAAATTGTACCTAGCATTATGTTAAGCGGTATAAAACCAAATGCACTGATGTACATAATCTGAGCTAAAGCAAACATGCACATTCCAGGTGTGAAACAACTGGGCCAAACCAATAATGCATCTCCTATACAACTGAATATTAATCCTGTCAATATTCGCCTCGAAAAGGTATATCTGAAAATAATACAATTTATTTGTATTTTTAAATATTAAATTCTATTCTAAGATAAATAGCAATTTCTAATATTGAGTTAACAATAATGATAATATGGAATAAATTTCATGATTCTATGTTAAAAAATATATTTAACAATATATATTTATCGCTCTATACATTATTAATATTGATATATTTTTTTTATTATATATTATAATATATATATATTATATAATATAATATATATTATAATATAATATATATTATAAAAAAAACAAGATGACTTATATGTATATATAGTTATATACGATTATAAAATAATTATATTTATTATTATTTTAGAAATAATTTTCTTTTAATATTATTTAAAAAAATTATTAATTTTGAAATTTATCAAAAAAAAAATAATTTTGAAAAATTTTTCCTATTATAATTTTTTATTATAATACTTCAAATAATTTTGTTTTGAAAATTTTTTATTCTTACTCTATGTATGAATAAAATAAAATAATAATTCGATATTAGTGGATAAATATTAATATTATTGAAGATATCACTTCTATCATAACAGGAATAGATATATTTTATTTGAAATAAATTTCATATAATATAATGATATTATGTAATAAGTAACATATTTTTAGAATAATAAATAATAAAAATTTCATTAATAATTTTAATAATCTATTTAATTTAAATTTTTAGGTAAATAGTGCCCAGCTTTTATGGTTTAAAATTGTAAGCAAAAGAAGCATAGAAGCAATGAAAAAATATTCTTGCTTACACTTACATTTTCAGGTGACTTTTTCAGTTATAATATTTTTTTCATTTTTTAAAATTAATTTTTTAAAAATATTATAAAAACGTCGTTGAATAGGAATGTTTAATATTTTACTGATTACCAAAACATAATAACGATGTTTCATATTTTATGTAAAAATAAAAGTAGTCATTGATATATTCATAAAACCAACAGAAATAATATTGCTCTGTTTCATAATAAATCAATCCTCTTCTTTGTTCCAATAAAAATCGCTCTTGTAAGATCGAATTTTATGCGATCTGTGAAATGCGGAAATTGTTAAGAAAAGAATTGGCGGAATATTTAAAATGCATTACCAATTAGGAAAAAAAAGCGACTTGAAAATAAGCGTAAGCAAGATCATAAATGGTTGGCTAGCACCTATAGTCACGGAAATGTCATATACTTGATTAACTTGTTTTTTCCGCTTTGCTAAATGTTAGCACTATCATTTTATAGATATAAATGTTTTGTAGATATATTGCTATATTAATGTTGAAAATAAAGATATATAGAAATCAATAAACTTTAGTTAATTAATCTTAATTTTATCGCTAAAATTGATGGCACGCTATTAATGCAACTTTTTTTCAGATTTAAATATAATATTTGAAGAATAATAGAAATAATTAATATTGTCAATTATAAAATAAAAGTGTGATGTAAAAGGATTGATGCATGTAAAATATTTTTGCACTTACTCCTGCGATAAATTAATTCCATGTAGCAGAACAAAAACGATAAGACTTATAATTGGTAAACATTTGAAACATGCCGTCAGTAGAGACGGCTGTTCAGCCAGTAATATAAAATATACAGACACACTTTTAAAGAAGGGGACTAACTTTGGACCAATACTTTTTAACTGAAACAGATAAAATATGAAATTTAGATCGAATTCGTTGGTTGTAATTAAATGTAATTAAAATAGTTTATATGTATTAACTGTTTGGTTTCATAATGCAAGTTGCAATACGTGTAAATTAATATCAAAATCAAGATATCAATTTCAGATGTATAACTTGCATCGATATAAGAATTCAGTATACCGTTTTCCAATGAACAAGATCTGATAAAGATTTTAGTTAATGTAAATTGCTTGAAACTGATGCGCAGTTTCATGAAATAACAATTGATATATATATATATATATATCGCAATATATTTCAGCGTGCGTAATTCGATAACACTTTTTTTTAACTCAAATATATTGACATTAATAATCATTCAATTCATTTGAAAACTTTACTTATAAATTCTTTCTTTATTTAGAACTTAAAATTAGAAATCAATCTATATATATCTTTTTTCTTATTTCATTTTCGCTGATATTAACTATTTCTTAGAAATAACTTTTTAAATAATAAAAATATAAATTTATTTTCAAAATAATATATTATTGATTATATTTAACAAATATTGGATGCATATAGTATCACCATTTTTGAATGAATTAATTTTTATTTATCGAAATATTTCTTTTATTTTAATCATTGAATAAATCTCAACAAATATTAAGAAATGTTATTTATATATATTTAACAGATATTTAGTATTGTAATAAATTATATTAAATATTTAAACAAATATTAGTGAATATTTAAAATTTATTTGCAATGAAGCATAAAATTAAAGGAAAAATAAATAAATAGTATAAGAAATAAAGTAATAGAAAAATATTATAATAAAGATACAATCATTGTTCTGTAATTTCTATATTATAATATTTGTTTTAGTTTAAAATATAAAAAAAAAAGCATAATTATATTAATGAAATTTAAAGCATATTTTTATACATGTAAACTTTGTATTATATATAAATATAAATTTTCGTATTATGATTTCAACAAAACAATGAAAAAACAATTGAAGAATGTTTAAAATAATAAATTTCAAATATTAATTCTATTGCTTTCATAAAATAAAAATACATTTTTGCAATATTTTTATTTCTATTCTTATAAATAATGTTAAACGATCGATTAAAGCATCATAAAAACATAAGAATAATTTGGTTAGGATAGTTAAACAAGTAAACAAATATGGTATTAAGAATGTTGGTATTTAATTTTCATATCAAAGAAAGTAAAGTAAATCTATTGTTGCAAAATTATTATTAATTATACTATATTATATATAATATAGCTTTAAAATGTCTTGCAATAAAAAAAAATGACAATAAAATAATATCGATTTCATATCTATAAAATGAATAAATTTTTTCTATTTTTATTTGCAATTAAAATAATTTTCAATGTAAATAAACTCTTAAAAACATATTCGCAATACTACCAACTTAGTTATTAATAACCCGTAAACGGAAACGAAAATCAACGAATGCGCTATATAAGATAGTACTTGTTCAAAACAAAGAAAACAACAATTCGATGGAATATTTTTTTAGATTATTTATAATTTTTATTTTAATATAATAAAACAATAACAAAAAAATAGACAATGTCTTTGTTCTATATATGAAAAAATAATAAATTTATACCAAATTGTCAAAATAAGGATAATAAAGAAAATTTAATGAAGAACAATAGAAAAATTTATGAGAATTGAAAAGTCGATAAGAAAAAATATTACTCACCACCTGTGCAGGAGATGACATTTTAGATTAAAGTGTAATTTTTTGATATGAATAATGATGCAAACCTACATATACGATATTTTCCACTGCACTGTCAGTTACCACACAATTATCATAGTAGACTGCTCCCTTAACCACTACATTATTTCTCCCCGCGTGAACACCATTGCTTCCTATTGGTTAATTCTCCAACAATCGGTTTATAATAACCAATGAATATTAAATTCTTTTTTCTTAATGTAAAACATTTTTTAATTTTCTTAAGATTTTTTTTGTAATTTTACTTAAAATTTTCATCATAATAATAATAATCATTAATATTATTAATACCATTTCACATGATGATTTTAATTTATATTTTGTATATTTTTATCCATATTCATATTACGATATGAATATAAATTGTCGATAGATTCATCATTTCATTAAATTTTTCATGTATTGAAAAAATCAAACGAAAATAATTTTTTACAATTTTAATTTTGCTTTTAATTAAATATAATATAATATAAATATTTTATTGAAATCATTAAAATAATTGTTAACAAATTAAATAAAATATTAAAAATTAACAGTAAAAAAAAGAATTTTTTTTTGATTATTTAAAATTCATTATTACATATTTAATATTTCATGTTATATATTTTATTAAAAGATATAAATTCTAGGAATAATAGATACATCAGCATTCATGAAACGCGGAACTATTTTGCTTTTAATAAAAATTTTTCTCCCTGGATTTATTTTCATTTGAATTATAAATAATAAAAGTTATATATAAATAGAAAAAAAAAGTATATAACATTCAAGAATAATAAAAAAAAATACAAATTTTAACTTATAATTTTTTTATTATTAAAATAGAAGTATCAAAAAGAAAAAAATATATTTTCAGAAAATGGAACATTTTTTAATTAATAAATATATCTTGCTAATTTAATGCAATTTATAATAATTAAAATCTGAATTTTCAAAATCAAAATCAATATTTTCTGTCTTTTAAATCTTTCTTCTTATCATATTACTTACATAAAATATTTGGATAATATATATAATATTTATAATACATATATATATATATGTATTAGTTATTTTATATTTTTACATGCGATTTAAAATTTCGCGCTTAATTTATCTATTGATATTGTCAAACATGAAACCAAATCATGTGATAAAATTAAAATATTGATTAATCTAAAATAATATATACTTAACTATACTTAACTATATATATAAATAAAATTTTGTTGTATCATTTAAAAAATTTCAATTTGTTTGAAATTTTCAATCTTATATAATACATATATTAAAAAAAAAATTTCTACTAAACATGAATTATATTTTTTCAATTTCTAAGCAATGTAATTAAACATAAAATATCGTGATTTATATTGCTAGAAAAATACAAAGGTATTACAGATTATAAATTTAAATTATATTTTATGATAATTTTATTATATTTGTCATTACATTATATAATTAGAATATAATAGATATATTTCAATTATTAATAATTACTACTATTCAGTATTTTATATAAAAAATTAATTATATTAATTTATAATTATATAATATTAATTATAATTAATTAATTATAATATTAATTATATAATTATATAATATTAATAATTAGTTAACGTGAACCTTATGCGTTTTCATCTTTTTTCTTTATCATTGTTTCCACGAAATGATTCCATTTTTCTGGTTCATTTGCAGTAAACCATTCTGCTAATTTGTCCATGTTTTGTTTTTGAATTTCGGTACATTTTTTACATTGTGTTTGAAACGCTTCGGTTATGTGACCTAAAAATTAAATAATTTATTTAATAATTAATTATTTTTTAATTAAATGTAAATTTTATTTTGATTTTTTTTTATATTATCACATTTTAATAAGAATTTATATTTACTTTTAAAGAACACCGAATCCGGAGTTATACAAGAGCCTGCATCGATGAAACAATCATAATATTGATTTCGTAAACGATCATTTGCCAAAATTTCGTCAATATTCACATAATCATATTTATCAGAATAAAGTTCCTCAGCACATGTCCACGTTAATAAAGATAATATTAATAATACAATATAATTATGGCGCATAATGTAAAATTTTATTATTCTTTATAATCAAAATAATTAAATTTCTTTCTTATAGAACTTCTTTCAGAAAACTGAATACGAATTAGATTATTCCATCTATTTATATATTTGCACAAACAAACTTATATAAGCAAATACTTAATCATTCGAGAAATAAAAAAAATATTCATAGTTAAAAGAAATAATAATTAGGTATACTAATGATAATAAATTATTCTGTTTTATATAATTTGTTATTACTTAAGTGACATTTAAAATTGTTTTCGTAGAAAAAGTTAAAAAAATACTAATTTATAAAACATAAAATGTATATAATATTAAATTTTTTATTTATTTTTTATTTATAGAAATTTTAATATCATTTTTTATATGGAATTATTTTTAATTTGTATTATTATTAATTTATTATTTTAAAACATATTCAACGATAAAATAAATATTTGAATAATTCTTTGTTCATATGTCATTTTATTATACATATATATTTCTTATATTTGATCTTGACATTTATGATATATATTCATAAAAAAATCGTTAAATTATTATTCAAACATATCTACATTTATTTAAGTATACTATAGCATTGAATATTTAACACATATAAAAATTTCTTAACATGCATAATAATTTGATGACAGTAAGAATATATAACATTAAAAATAATATAATGATACTGAAATTTTTATAAAAGTATAATGATGTTAAAAAAGATTCAAATATTTATTAAACAATAATATCGAAGAAATTTATCGCTATATTTCATAAAAAATTAATTTCCTTACATGAAACTTTACTAAAATATAATATAGATATATATAATATAGATATATATAACAATATATAAAAATCAGCCAATAAGATATTAGATGAATTAAATGCATGTTATATTTGATACTACCTGACCATTTTCTAATAATTTAATTTATAATCTTGCTATATTATGACCCGTACTATACTTCTAATATTTTATATCGTATGTAAACTATTATTAGTTTTAATATTTCAAATATTATTAGATGTATTTTTTAATTTTTTAATTTTCAATTAAATATATATTGATAATGATTTATCAATAAAATAGTCCAAATGATCGTATTATTTTATTGATACTTTTTTTTTAATACATAATTTATTTAATACATTATATTTCAATAATGAATATTATATTTCAAGGATATTATTTAATATTAACAATATTTAAATTGCATAGTTTTATTATAAATTTAATTTTTTGGAAAAAAAAGTTTACAAATTCAAGTTTATAATACATATAAAAAAAAAATTAAAAAATTTTAATAAAATAAAAAATATTGCGAAACTTGCTTTTTCTTAAGATCCATATTCATTTTCTTTTTGTTACATATATATATATATATATAGTATTCCTATTTTCGATAAAATGATATCAATTATATGAAAAATAAATTATATCAATATATATGAGTTTATATGAAAAAAAGTTTTGATAAAAAATTGTAAAAAAAATATAAAATAATAGAATGATTTGATAATATCTACCTAATTTGTTCACAATAGCTGTTTACTAATTTATTTATTGTGATTTATTGTATATAAAAATAATTTTATATATAAATTTATATATAATAAAACTTTATAAATGACAATGAGCAATAAAAATGTATAAATGACACTTTGAAATAAAACTAATATAAATACTAATATTAATATAATAAATATCATGAATCTATTTTTATATTTTATTGAATAGAAATAATTAATTGTAATTTCATATATTTATTATAATTTTTTAATAAAGGATTTTTGTATGATATTGTATGAATCTTTATTTGTATGATATCTTTTTTGAAATTATAATAGTAAAATATTTTGCGAAAAAAAAAAAAATAATGGCATTAGATATTTTGATTTCTATATATTATTTCGAATAAATAAATCAAACTATGAAAATGAATAGAAATAAAAAAAGATTTGAAAAAACAAAATTAAATAATACATTTTATATTTTTTTGTCAATTTTATTATATATTTATAGAAATATAAAAATTACACTGTTTTTTTTAAGATTATGTAAACTTTTTTGCATTACAAATTAATTCCGTTAATGTCTAATAATTTTTAATAAAGTATTAAGATTAAATAATTGCAACATAAAATAATAATATATATTGATAAAATATAGAATAATAATTAATAATAATAATATATTAAATGTATATTAAAAAATTATATATATATATATATATAATAAATAATAATAATATAAAATGTATATACATACACAGCTTCATTTTATGTTCTTTATCATTTTCCATATACTAATTATCCAAGAAGTTGCTGTGCCAAGTTACATGAAGTATCCTGTATAAATGTATTTTATCAAATGTAATAGTATATTTGGACATCTAAAGAACAAAATATCATGTTTTACGAATGAAAATATTTGTTCTTCAATTATTTGAATATTATATAAAAATATTTAATGGATTATGCTTAACGTTTTTTTTCATTAAAATTTGAACCTAACTTATTGAAACGTGTGAATCTAACCTATTATAGTATTTAAAATTATCTTGCATGCTTGTCAATATAATGTTGTTGAGAACATATAAATGGGAAATGAACTGTCGGTTTAAGCAATTAATTCGCAATTTTGGCATTATAAAGGTAAATTCAATATTTTTGAATTAATTTTAAAAATTTTATAATCACAATTTTCTAACCATATTATTTCATTTTAACAAAAATTTTTGTTTAAAGTTCCAGCCACTTCTTGAATTTGAACATACTGTTCGTAAATTGCCAGTAACACAACTTGTTAGATGCAAATCCGGCACTCCTATGAATACCATCATATTATTTGTTCCACAACAAGAGGTTTGTAAAATAAATTAAAATCTAATCTATTTTAATAATAATAAAATTTATTTTTAGGCATGGATTGTTGAAAGAATGGGAAAATTTCATAGAATTTTAAATCCAGGATTAAATATTCTTACACCAATAATTGATAAAATTAAATATGTTCAATGCCTCAAAGAAATAGCTATAGAAATACCTCAACAAAGTGCTGTTACATCAGGTACATATTATCAATTGTATATTTATATTTAAAAAATATAAATACAATATTAAAATATAATATTAATCATATATTTTCAAACAGATAACGTAACATTAAATATTGATGGTATATTATACTTAAGAGTAATTAATCCATTTTTGGCTTCGTATGGTGTTGATGATCCTGAATTTGCTGTAGTTCAGTTAGCTCAGACCACAATGAGATCTGAATTAGGAAAAATATCTTTAGATAAAGTTTTCAGAGAAAGAGAGGGACTTAATGTTTGTATTGTTGATAGTATAAATAAAGCAAGTGAAGCTTGGGGTATAACATGTCTTCGATATGAAATACGTAAGACTACTAAAAAAATTAAGAATAAAATTAAAATTAAAATTAAAAACCTACTATTCAAAAAATTCTAATGATCTCAATTTTTTGTAATAGGAGACATAAGATTGCCACAAAGAGTGCAAGAAGCAATGCAAATGCAGGTAGAAGCAGAACGCAAAAAGAGAGCTGCAGTTTTAGAATCGGAAGGAGCTAGAGAAGCAGAGATAAATATCGCTGAAGGAAAACGTTTAGCACAAATTTTGGCATCAGGTAATTATATGTTTTAATCTATCTTGTTTTAAATTGTTAAATAATTTATTTGATTTCATATATAGAGGCTGCAAAACAAGAAGAAATAAATAAGGCAACTGGTACTGCAACTGCTTTAGTAGCTATTGCTGAAGCACGTGCAAAAAGTTTAAAACTTGTTGCAGGCGCTCTCAATTTAACCGATGCAAAAAATGCAGCGGCATATAGTATAGCAGAACAATATGTTAAAGCATTTAATAAATTAGCAAAAGTTAATAATACTTTAATTTTACCCAGTAATGTCTCTGATGTGTCTGCCTTAGTAACACAAGTATGTTAAAAGATTTAATTATATTACTATTTTATAGATTATTTAAGTGTAATTATTTTGTATTTTTAGGCAATGACAATTTATAAACAAGTTATGTCTCAACCTACATTAGATAGTCCTGATGTAAAAGAAAATAAAGATCTCCTTAATGATGATGAATCAGATGAATCTTTTGAGTATTTCAGTGATAAAGAAGAAGCAGAAAAACATAGAAGAAGCAAAAGAAAGCGAAATCCTAAAGCATTGTAAAATATTTATAAATAATATAAATATATTTTGACTTTTATTATCTCATATTATCCCATTCTTAAGAAAATAAAAGTAAATAATGAAAAATTAATTATATATTATATATATTACAGACAAAATAATTTTACATAAAGTTTAAAATAGCTTTAAAAATAATTCAACATTTTTTAAGTATTGTAAAACAAATTAGATTTTCATAATTATTTTTATTTCCTCTTCTTTATATGAATTGATATTGGAGGCATTGGTTGAGCATATGTTTCTTGAGAAATTCTATTGATATAATATAATGCAATCATAGAAAATATAAAACATGTTGTAGTTGCTACACGATGTACCAAAGCTGATGCAATTAAGCTAATCATTAGTGAAAAAATAACTGTAAAAAAAATATCATTGTTATTCAAAATTAATTTCATAATATGTCTACACATAACTATACATAATAATGTCAATATTAAATAATGTACCTTCTGGAAATAATTTTTGTTGAAAAGATTTTCCAAATATTGTTGATTCCAAGTTTCCTATTGCAGTTAACACGCACATAAATAGTATCGATCCAATATATCCTCCTAATATTGTATAAATTTGTGATGATGCTAACCAAACTTTATATATTTGCATTCCCGAAAATATAAGAACAGTCAAGATTGAAGACAATACAAGAGATACTCCACTACTAACAGCTGAAAAATTAAATGGGAAATATCAATTTTTTTTTTATTCAATTAATTCATTATTTATAAACAAATTTAAATGAAAAAAATTGATGATTATGTTAGCTAACCAGAAAATCTAACATCTTATTTTTCTTCTTTTAATAACTATTAAACATTTAAATACTTAATATTGTATATATTTTAAATATGTATTTCACTGATTTTTTAAAATAATAATTTTTTAATTATACGTACGCATTTTTAAGATAAATTTTTTACTAGAAAAAAATCAATTCGTAGATCTTTTAATTTCTTTTACGACATTGTATCACAATGTATTCGTACCAACATTAGCTGCAAAAATTTTTTAAGTTTAATCAATAATATTAAGAGAACTACACATATATAAAATTCATAGTGTATGTAAATTTTTATAATTTTTTTTATTTAATATATAGTAATTTATTATTATTAATTATATATATATATATCTAGTTATATTTTATTTCTATATAGAAATATAAAAATCTACTTCACATTTAAATTAATTAATAATTTTTAAATTAGTGAAAATATTAATAAATAAAAAGATATTGATTCAAAATAATATAAAAATAAAATATTTATATTAATAAAAAAATATAAAATGTCTATAATCATTGATACGATATAAATTAGATGTATTACTTTGTAACGAATATGCATGCGCAGAAATTGAACCGTTATTATCGATTTTAAACTTATTATGGAGACTATCTTTTCTTTTCGATCGATATTCTAAATAAGAGTATATATTCTTTTTATATTTTTTCTTTAATATTCTATCTATCTTAAAATTATGAAATAATTATTTAATATATTATTTTGCTTTAAATATAATTTTTACTGAAGTAATATCAAACCATAATAATATTAAAAATAATAATATAATTAAAAATAAATTATTTATATCTTTTGATAAAACTATCAGTTTAAAATTAAAAAAATTTTTTAATTATTTTGAAACTTGATTTGATTAAAGTGGTATAACGTCAGAGATAGTAGGCCGTGTTTGCGGAGAGCGAGTAGGATTGGCTGTCAGGAGTGATCGGTCCGGCGAAGCAGTAGGAGGTTCGAGTCGCCATTTTGGCAGATTGTGAGAGCCTTCTGTCGTCGCCGTGAGCCAAGCTGTCGTTCGCCCAGCTGAGCCCTTTACGCGCGCGCGAGAGAGCTCTTCTGGCTAGATCGAGTTGGGAAGGCAAAATTAGACTGGCGCTCACAAAATTAAAAAAATTTCGGAAAGAATTGACGGGAAATAGTTCTGCGTATTGTAATTTTTCTTTTCCTGTCGGTATTCTCGGTTTTGAGGTACATTTCTCTAATTTTCGTGGGTGGTGTGCATTTGCTAATATTATCTTCGAAATTGAAGAACGATTTCTAATTGTGATAGTATAACTCAAGAATTGGATTGGAAAATACGTAAGCTTCAAAAAGTTCTAGTGTGACAGAAGTAACGACACTATGGCGGGACAGACAATCAACGATAGACTGTTGGCAGCGAGACATAGCATCGCCGGCCAGGGTCTTGCTAAAGCTGTATGCAAAGCTACTACAGAAGAGATGATAGGTCCGAAAAAGAAACATCTCGAATGTAAGTTCATCATATTTTCTTTTATTCATTTATCTATTCCGATCATTTCAATTATGATTTTGTATTTTTTCCGGTATTTTAATCAATTTCTTTTTCAATGAAGAAAGTGACAGGATAAATTCTTAAAATTATTGTCTGAAATTATTAATCTTTGTATAATGTATATCATTTAAGTGTATCATCAAAATATAATTAACTATTATTATAAATTGTTATAATTCCCGGAAAATGAATCATATTACAATAGAAATAATTTTTCTTGAGATTAAACAATTTTTCAAAGTATATGAAAAATTAATCATGTTTGATATATAAAAACGAAGAACAAACTTTTGTATATCTTCATGTCCGTTATACTTTAACGGATTACTTTCAATTTCCAGACGTTGCGTGAAGGAAAGTAATTCGATTGACAATTATACATTTTCATGTAATTTAATGTCTACAAAAAATTGAAGATCAAAAAATTGATTAGTTTGTTAAAAAGAATGAAAAATAAAGAATATCATAAATTATTGTTGAATATTAAATAATTTCATGTCATTTTATTTTATAATTCGAAAATTCGGTATGTATCATCAGAAATTTTAAATAACTGTCAAGATATTGATATAAAATCATGATCATTATCACATTTTTTTCGATTATTATATTGATAGTGATCATTATCTTTTAAAAAAACAATTATCTTTTAAAAAAACAAATAATTTGATTTCATAAGCTTTTTTTGTTAAAAGTGTATATTAGAGTATATTACACAAGCTAATAATATTGATTGTACAATTCGTTACTATTGCGTTATATATGTATTATTTATTACAATCATATTATATTAATATAGATAATTATGCAAATTTATATTGAGATAAATTAAAAAAAATTTCAAAAATCGCATTGATATAGGAATATTAATATTAATTTGTTAAATTTTTCAAATTGATAATTGTTCAAAATCTAATATTGTTATCATTAAACATATATATAAGTATTCCAAAATATTCGAATTCAACTGAGATTTCTAATTGAGTAATGGTGAAAGTTTTTGAATTGTTGGATCCTTATTTATAATAGATATTTTGTGCAAAAATAATTTATTATACTTTCTGTAGTAGCTATTACGATATTATTGGTTTATAAAAAATAAAAAATAAAATAAAATAAAAAATAAAATAAAAATAAATATTGCCATAAAGTTAAAGATTATTAGTGACATAATTTTCCTTGAATTAGTAAGGAAATCTATCTTATATTTGAATGTCAATGAATTGTATTATATAAACACATTTCTCTATATTCATTAGTATATTTATTATTATCAGTATACCAATACAAAATATTCAAATTTAAGACGTTTTTCTTTTATTTTCTTTTTTTTTGACAAATTATCTAAATTTCTACTAACTATTGGCTTTAATAAGCAGAGTATATTTTAATTTAAATTACTTATAGAATTATTGTTGAAAGTTATAAATAACTATGAAAATCGAAAAATATTCAAATATTAAAAAATAAAAGTAGATTTCTATCAAGTATTATCATTGGTTTGATCGTTAATTGAAATTTGATAATTATTAATAACACAAAAATTTATTATCAATAGGAAAATAAAATTATTTTATATTTGAACGGTAGGAAACCGCATGAGTTCCTCGTGATTATCTCTGTCGCATGAGGTTTATAACATTATTTATAACATATTTTTACATTAAGATTTATAAGTATAGATATATCTATATATGTAAATACTATGACATTTATTTTCAATTTAAAAATTTATTTTCATCAAAAAATATAATATTAGAGTTTTGCATTTTTCAATATTGTCGAATTATTTTTAAATTTAATTTAATTTATATTCAAAAAAATTATTTTAAATTTGGACAATGTTATTCATCATTTCAATATTTCATTTTACAATTCTATAAAAATTTCATGTCATTATTATTTTTTTAATGTAATTTATATGTGAATATTGATTTTTTTATTTATATTGGTTATATTTTTATTATATTGGTTTATTTATATTGGTTTTTTTTATTTATATTGACAATTTTACAAAATATTGATACAAATGAAATCATTAAAAGTTTATCTTACATAAAGAAATTATAATTTAAAATTTAAAATAAGCATTGTTACGAAAATTTTTTGTTTATTTAAAAATTTTAATATATGCGTTTATATTTACTAATTCATTTATTCAGATACATGCGTGTGTATAATGTATATTTTCGATTTAAATGATTTATTTTAATATAAATGTTGAAACATTCCTAAATTAAAAATTAATTTAATATAAATTTAAATATTAATATTTTTAAATTTTATATAAAAATTATGATATATTACAAAAATAATAATTATATTGTTTCATTCATTTATTTCAATTATTCTTTAACGAATAACAATATTAACAATCATATTTCGTTAGAAACAAGAACGCGTTTCCGTTTTAACAGGACGGAACTTGCACTCTTTCTTCCGGTCTGTTAATTTAGATAGTGAAACAAATTTTTGTCGATGAAATCTTCATTAAGTTTAATCTTGTTTCTTTCTCTACAATCTTTATTTTCACTTTTAGTAAAAAATAATAAAAAACAATTTTTTTTCATATTTCATAATTTAATGCAATGATTATATAATTTTTACTTCAGAATTTTGTATTAATAATAAAAAATGATTATAATTGTTAGTATATTTATCTAAATTTATTACTTTTATCTTTGATGAATACAAATGGAAGATAGAAATCATCACATCATTTTTTTATTTTTACAAGTGCAATATTTACAATAAATTATTAATGAAATAATTTCTATAAATATTTTTTCATCGTATTTAAATTTCCTAAATCTTGTATACTATTTTGTAAATATGATATTTAATATCACATTATACAAATCATATATATAATGTTCAATATTTTTCTTTCTTTTTAAAAAAAAATCTAAGTTAGAAAGTTAAGAAAATTTAAGTTTTCGATAATCGATTTTTCTTAGATGGAAGTTCAATTGATTACAATTATTGAATCATATTTGTATTCTTGTTTTATAAATATAATTATTTTTTAATAAATATTTAATATAATTTTTTGTTTTTTAATATAATTTTAATAATTAAAAAAATATTTAATATCTAGAAGAATGAAATTGAACTATTTAAGGTTAATAAAGTTATAAATGACGCATGAAGATCAGAAAGGATCGATCGATTGCAAAACCTAAATATTATATATACATATTCGATTAGACGAATACTTCGCACATGCCCACTAGCATTGCATCCTAGGGAGCTTTCGTCCGAGATTCCGTTTATCGATCGGTCGTATACTTGATTCCTAGCCGATGACCTCGTAATGGTTTTGATTACTTGTCTATTCGGAGACTTCGAATAATCACTTCTCGTACTAAAAATAATGTCCATGAATTTCTTGATGAAATTCTTTATCATTGAATGGGATATAGTTACGATTTTTTTTGTCGATATATTGTAATTAGCAAAATATCGATTATATTATCAATTTTTGATTCACAATCAAGTTGATATTTCTTGATCATTTAAATTTTAATATTTTTGTTAAATTTTTTTTTTAAATATAATATATTAACAATACAATTATTAATAATATATATACATAAAATATATATATATAATATATTAATATAATATATTAACAATACAATATTTTATATTTATTAAATTTTGATATAATTTTTCATTGTTATTAATTTATTACTAATTTTTATAATTTAATTAAATTGAAAACATTTGTGATAATTTTTATTTTGTAAGATGTTGAATTATGTAATTTACTCGTATATTTACTAATTGTACTAAGTATTGTCTCGAAAAATTTGTTATCAATATTTCCTATATTTATTCACATAATTTTTTTTTTTTTTTTAGGTAATCGTTATCTTTCCATATTGGATTCCTAAATTTAATGATTGAATTGCACGATTGTTAATTTTTTTATATTTAATTTTTAAGTATCATAACTATTTCGAACTATCCAATTATAAAAAGATCATCTTGGCTAAAATAACTTTTATCAAAAATAGTGTACAATTAAAATTGTTCCAATTTTATTATAGAATTAATTTTTGATTTTCTTGAAAACGATTATATTATTTTTTCTAATTACATTAACTGAAATGGCAAAAAAGCAAATTTTAATGAATATTTATGAAGAATTTTTAATAGATAATTTAAACCAGATTTAAAAATTAAATCGAATTTTTTTCTATTGAGATATAAATTAAAAATTAAATTACTTCACATTTATATTCAAAAAAATATTCGCCAATAAGAAACTTGTTAAGAATCAACAGAAAAGTTCAAAAATGGAATTTGAGGACATATAATGATGCAAGAACGAAGTAAATCAGATTTACAATATACAAAAGTTTTTTCTTTTTGATAATTTGCATTTGTTACAGATATCGTCTTACCAAAACATTTTATCGGTGACGCCCCCATTTGAATCTGGATTCGGAGAAACATTTTAATGTGCACACCCCTTGCAAGTTTCAGATAATTCTGATAATGATTGAATTCTTTGTTACATTTAATATCTGCCGTTATTAGATTCATCGGATTTCTTTATTTCCTATGGTTAACATGTTCATCTATATCATGGTTGTTTATTTATAATATCAGTTTGAAAACAAGAAGCGTAATGAAATTCTTTTATCGATTTTATCGATTTTTATTTAATATTGTCTTTATTTAATAAACTTTAATAAATTTTTTCCTATCGAATTAAAAGATAATTATTTTTAAATATAATTTTAATAATATAAAATTATGAAATTTATTATCATGTGAAGAAATATTTGAAATAAATAAATTTAGAATAGATATTTATGCAAAAGTAAAAAAAATATTACTTATTATAAAAAAATTTATTAAGAGAAAGATGAGTAAAGTACATAGGAAAAAAATATTTTATAAAATGAGTTTAGTGAAAAATTTCGTTATTTTTACTCAATGTATAAGACATTTTGAAAAAGAACGAAATTTTTTATTTGTTATATATATTTATTAATCTATAATTTTTAACTAGCTACAAAGAGTATACATATATATATATATATATAAATAAATAGTTATGAAACTTAATATTACAGTAGAAGAAACTTCGTCATTAGTAGTCATAATAATAGAACTTATTTTTTCTTTTAGCTTATTTTAATTTTTATTGAATTTTTCAAATTTTATCTTTAAATATTTCTCTATATTAATTCTCTATATTAATCTTTCTTTTTTTTTTTTTGAAATATTTAAATTATATTATAAGATATTTCTTAATTTTAAAAATTCTTAATTTATAATTTGATTATTATAGAAAATTAATCGAAAAAATTGATGCTTAGAATTTCAGTTCAACTTGTTACACTATTTACAAAGTATATATATTAAACTACGTGGTTTCTATCTTTTATAAATAGTAAGAACACTATTCAATGAGATGTGACTTTTAAATCTTATTCGGGAGTACATTATTAGAGAAGAGAAGGCAAGGTCAAACACTTACTAAAACATCTCATCATTTTGGCAGCAATCACGATGGATTTTTTTTCTTTGAAAATAATACAAAAATTTTAGAAAAAAAATCACATAAAATCTTTATATTTTCACATTATATAAAATTAAATTAAAAGATGATAAAAACTAAATATGCAAAAATCTTTTGTAACATCAAAAAAAAAAAATAGAAACCAATTGATGCGAAAATTTTCAAGAGGAACAAATATACATGCAGTCTGATATTCTTAGAAGACAGTTTCAAAATCATTTGGCAAATTATAATCTTTTGTCAGCCATTATATCTTTTTTATTTTTCTTTGTAATTACTAAATGTATTTGTCAAAGTATTAATTTGTTTTGTTGTAATATAATGAAAAAAATAATGATTATTTACTCAATTAATTTATTCAAGCATTAATTTACTCAAATTCTTTAAAAGATATTATCGATTTTCAATTTTGTTTATTTTTCTCATTATATATATATTTATTTTTCTCATATATCAAAATAAAATATATTAGAAAAATCCGCAAGGAAACAGTATTTCAACAAGTTCGTTAATTTTTCTATTATAATGATAAAATATGTTTTTAAAATGAACATAAAAATTGAAAAATTAATTTTATACAGTTTTGTTTTTATACAAAGTAATAGAATGTTATTTCATTACTATATATTTTCATGGATTGTTTTATAATTGTATAAAATAGAAAGATATCGAATAGAAAGCAGTTAGAAATGATAATATTCTACCAAGATACTAGATATTTTTCGATGGTTTTACTGAAAAATAAATTAGAAAAAATGATGAGGGAATAATAATCTTGATCTTTTTTTTAACTCCTATCATTTCCAGAATAACGAGAAAGTCTTGATTATTTAGAAAAAATTGATTATTTAGAAAAAAATTAGAAAAAATCCTCTCAATCTAATTATGCATATCATTTTTTTTTACAAAATATTATATTATACATACAATTTTATTCTTGAAAAGATTTTTTTTTCAAGATATCTTTTTTTTTCTAACATATCAAAAAACAAATCATCATTAACTTGAAAAATGAAAAAAAGATACAAATCATCTAGATTTTTATTTTAATTTTTAAAATAGTACTAAGTATTACAATAAATTAATATAATAGTAATGGTAAATTTGTTTTTATTGTAAAATTTCGAATATTAAATATAGAAGAAATATTACTAAAATAATACTAGCTTTCCAGTGTATTACCAGTATTACTAATTTTCCAGTGAAAAAAATTGATACTCGATAAAATTTCATGATTAATAAAACTTGTCATTCTGTTTCAGACCTCGTGCGATGTACAAACGAACCCAACGTGTCGATACCTCAGTTGGCAAATCTGTTAATAGAACGATCACAGAACACGAACTGGACAGTCGTTTTCAAAGCTTTGATCACAGTACACCATATGCTTTGTTATGGCAATGAGGTAAAAATAATTTCATTTTTATAATGCAGATCAGATTTAACAATAACAAATACTTTAATACTAACAACTTTAATAATAATTAATAAGTGACTTTTTTAAGAATAATCAGATTTTTTTCCCTTTGCTTCTCAACGAATATTAATTTGAAAATTAATAAAAATCCTATAAATGAAAATCCTATAAATGAAAATCCTAAATATAAAATAAAAAACAATTTATGAAAAGAATACTTTTAAATTCTTATTAATTGGCTTTCTGTTATTTTCAATTATTTCAAAATTTTCAATTATTTAAATATTGTATGTATTGTTTTAAAATTTAATGAATTTATATTATTTTACTTTATTTTACTAATGAAATAATGTTTAAAGTTTTTAATCATCTTTATTGTTTGTTATTTTTTATGAATAAAATTTAAAGATTTGTTCATAAAAGATTTAGAGTATTATTTACATCTAGAAACTGTTTAATTTATTTTGTTTCAATAATGAGTTGAAAAAAGGAAATGTCATCGTCCTTGTTAGTCATATGTGCGTGAATGTACATGGGATCGAATAATATGAATCTGTGATTAGAGTCTAATAATTTACAGTTTGTATATATAATTCAATAGAACAGTAACTGTAAGATAGTCATTTCTTTAGAGAATTATAATAGTGAAAGTAATACTAATAATTTAACTAATGATTTTTTATTTTAAAATATTATATTGTTTATCATGATTCTTAAATAAAAAAAGATTTTTATAATTTTTTAAAATTTTTTTAATGAAAAAAATTATGAATATCTTTGTTTAACCTAATATTAATTAGATTTTATAAGATTTCAAGTTAAATTAATGAACAAAAAAATAGAAAAATATAGTAAATTATTTCGGAGAAATGATCTTAACGAATTCAATAATTTTTCTGTTACAGAGATTTACACAATATCTAGCATCCAGCAACAGCACGTTTCAACTCAGTAATTTTCTCGATAAAAGCGGCGTTCAAGGTGATCACATTGTGTAAAAGAATCTTCTTGCATTAACTTCTGTCGAGTGGTTCAATTAGATGCTCGATTCCGGTTAATTCCCTGTCAATGTTCATTGCCCCTTATTTTTTCTTTTTTTAAACACTTTTATTTCTTCTAACATCCTGAGTATTTGATTTTAAAGAGTTAAATATATATATATATATATATATATATATATATCAAGTTATTGCATATGAAATAACCAATTTAATCAAAAATAAATGATTAAATGTATTGAATAATATTTATTACATGCAAATTTAAAGTTTTTAAATTTTGATGTAATAGTTTTAGTTTTAAAATTTAGATGAATAATTTCAATATTATTTTATTGAATTTTATTTTATTATATTCAATATTATTCAATTGTCTCATTACAAAGAAACAAATTATATATTGCAATGTATTATATTTCATCATTCAAGTGTTTTCTTATATAAATTTAATGCTTTTCTATTAATGATTACATTAATAGAATTTTCAAAAAGATTGCATTAAATGAGCAAGCTATCTTCCATTAGTATTGAATATAGAATATAAATAAGAAATTTACAAATATAATCATAAAAAAACAAATAAAAAAAATTATCAATAGTAATCAATTAAATTAATAAAATCATTTAATTGTAATAATTTTGATATTACTTTTCAAGATAAGATTTTAAATTGAATTTGTTGAATAAAACATTTGAAAATTAATATTATTTTCAATAAAATCGTAAGTATAAATCCTTATATTAAAAATTTTGTTATTTCATTTGCAATAAATTAATATAAATAATTAAGTATGGAATAATATTTTTTAATATTAACGTACATTAAAAAAAATAAATGTTTATACAAAAATTAATTAAATGAGAAAATTATTAAATTTTAAGAAAATGATGAAATAAAATATTTAAAATATATTAAGAAAAGAAATGAGGAAATAGAATAGAAGATTCTAATAAAGCAATTTTTAGTAACTAAAGTAATTTTTTTTGTTTGTTATAAATAAAGATATCAAGATTTAAAATTATGTATTTATTTTCGCAAATTTTCATTATGATATATTTCATAATTAATATTATATAAATTATGATAAAATTAAATTAAAGAATAATTACGGAATAGATTTAATTAATTAATAATTAATATATGTTTTTATGTTTTACATGATGTTACAAAAAAATAATTTGATGGATAAAAATTATAGAGACGGTGATTTAATTGAACCATTATCAAACTGGCATGTTTCCAAGTTATTTTTTTTGTTGCTTTTTTTTTTACAATGTGTTAATTTTGGCAAGAAATAAAAAGTTACATTCGAATGCAGCACGCATGCGAGCCGAGCACAATCACACATTTCATAGTTTTTATCTTAAAGATTTCATAAAATTTAATAATTCAACATTTTCAACAATTTAATAATTTAATAATTTAATAATTAACATATTTGTGTAATATTGAATTTCATAATTAAATAATTATAATTTTTATGTTAAAAATGAATAAAAATGTACGTAGAAATTTTTTTGTTCTGAAGAAGATTGTAATTGAAAGTTGTATTTAAAATGTTTGAAATAGTTATTAATATAATTAATTTTAAAATGTTGTCTAAAATTAAGTAATTATACAAAATTAATATATAATTGTTTCTAACAATGCATAATATTATTTTTACTCTTTAGAATCAGAAATTTATTAATAAGTTATTTCTGGCTAACTTCCTAGCATTATGCAGCTATGTGTATCTGGCCTCTGTCTATGATTTACTAACCTGGAACTAATTTTCTCTCTATTTGGGCACAGCAGGAGCTCGCATCGGTGAGTTAACATCTATTGTTATCCTTTTTTCCATATCTTAATATTTTTTCCACTAATATTATTCTCTAAATTTGTGTAATATTTTATCTAAGATTTTAGAATTAAATTGGATAATTAAATGATATTAATAATTAGTATTCCTTGTTATTAATACAATAAAAAGTTGAAGAAATCTTATATTTATTTTATTATTATTATCTAATTCTATTCAATTTTATAATTAAATACTATATAATTAATTGTTTAGAAATTCTTTAGGAAAATTAATTCTTTATTTGTAACTCCTAATATTAATTCAATAATATTATTTTCTGAAATGTTTATTTAATCTTTTATGAAAAATATCAAGATGAATTTATTCATTATTTGCATGTAGTACACATTTTCTAATTTAAGTTGAAAACCTTTCAAAATCGATAATTTTAATAAAAGCTCATATCCGCTTACACTTGCATGCATGCAAATTCTTGCACTTTGCACAATTTCAATTTTTAATTATTTTTTCTGGAAAAACTATATTTTTCTTTGATTAACTATATCCTAAAGTTTCTTGTATAATGGATGAATTAAGAAATTTTAAATTAAATTTTTTTTCTATAGGCTATGACATGTCACCGTTTATCAGGAGATATGCAAAGTACCTCAATGAAAAGGCTCTTTCCTATAGGACTGTGGCATTTGATTTTTGTAAGGTGAAGAGGGGGTAAGCAATTGATTTTAATTAATAAAAAACATATATTTTGTGTAATTAATAAAAAATAATTTGTAAGGAATTAAGAAGTAAGTTAATAAAGTAATTGTTAGTAAGTAATAAGGAAATAATTTAATTTTTTTATGATTTTTTTTCTTTTCAAATTATATTTCAGAAAGGATGATCGTACTTTACGTACAATGAATGCCGAGAAATTGTTGAAAACCTTACCAGTACTACAATCACAATTGGATGCACTATTGGAATTCGATTGTACTGCCAATGACCTAACCAATGGCGTTATAAATATGGCTTTTATGCTTCTCTTTCGGGATTTAATTAGATTGTTTGCATGTTATAATGATGGCATTATTAATTTATTAGGTAAAATATATCTATTATTTAATTAATAAAATATCTATTATTTAATTAATATTATTAATATTATCTATTATTTAATTAAATATCTATTATTATATGGAAGAAATATTTAATATTTGTTTTGTTACATTCTAGAAAAATATTTTGATATGAATAAAAAACAATGTCGCGAGGCTTTGGATCTGTATAAAAAGTTTCTCATACGAATGGATCGGGTTGGTGAATTTTTAAAAGTTGCCGAAGTAAGTTTTGAAATATTGATCGTGTAAATTAGAAATCATCTAAAAATTAATTTATATTTCTTAAAATTAATTTATATTTTTTTTTCAGAACGTTGGTATTGATAAAGGAGATATACCTGATTTAACAAAGGTAAAAATATATATTTTAGTTGAACTCAAATTATAATTCTTGAATTTTATGAAAAAAATATATCTATAGATCAAATTTTAAAAATGGATATTTCTTAGGCTCCTAGTAGTTTATTAGATGCATTGGAACAACATTTAGCTTCATTAGAAGGAAAGAAAGGTTCTGCAGCAAACACTCCCACGCAATCTGCAAGGTATGTTGATTATAATTTCTACAAATATCTAAATATCTACCAATAATATTCAAAATAGATTTAGAATTTAGAATTAAATTTATTAATTCTAAAGAATATTTTGCGATTCATCTATTAATAATATTTAAAGGTAAAATATAAAACATACATATAAATGGACACATATTATATATATTATGCAAATAAGACATTTTCATTCGAGAAAGATATTTCACATATAATATAAATTATCATGATTTAAAAAGTGCAATATTTAGACATATAACGTATATTTAAATATCAATCCTATCAAACTTTTTCCTTTGTTACTATTCTATTATAAATTCAATAACATACAAAAATATAAATCCTATTTATCATCCAATCGTTAATCATACTACTTTCCTCATAAAATGTTTTGTAAATTGTAAGATCAAAGGTAATGACATTTGTTTTCTATTGCTTGAATTTGTGCTTATTTTTTTTAAAAGTTAAAAAGTTTTTTTTCTTTCTTTTTCGCTTTCGTTTTTTATTTTATATTTGCAGGCTATAGTAATAACGAGCTAGTGATTAACTATATTAATTTCTCGATTTATTATCGCTTTTTATGGTTTCTAGAGATTTTGTTTGAAATCTTCTGCAAAAATTTCACTTAGCTTATTATCCAAGAGATTACATTTTATCGCTAATATTTTTTTAAATATTTTATCGCTGATTATTGCACATATTTATATTTCCTTTGATTCATCTTTTGGTAATTTGTATAATTTTTAACAACTTGCGGCGAAAATAATTAATAAAATTATTTTAATATAATAATGTTTTAAATTTCGTTCATGATAAAATTCTAATTAAAAAAAAAAATCAGTATTTCCTGGATAAGTGGTTTCTCTTGAGGTTTGTTTTAAATCCTGATTAACTGATTATAAATAAAACTGATTACAAATTAATTTTTGCATATTATTTATTACTTATTCACTTATTTGGAGACTATTGTTTTTTAACGAGTCATCGAAGCTCGTGTAAATAATATAACTTTTGTAATCAATATTTATTTTCAATTGATATATTTTTAAAATAATATCAGTAATTGATATTAAATTGCAAAGCAAAAGCTAGGTGATATTTTCTTGCATATAATTAATCTACATATGTATATAAGCGTAAGTAAGTGAAAAAGTGCGTGTGTTTTTTTTTCTTTTCATTTCATTTATATTATACAACGTATTAGGTAGTATTATTTAACTCAACTTGCTTGTATAAATTTATTTTAAAATACATAGTAAAAGATTATATAAAAAAAAGTTATATAAAAAAAACAAAAATTTATGACAAAAAAAAATCTAGCGTTACGCATGATTATAATTATATATTTACGAGTATATTTGTATGTACATTTGAGTGAAAGAGCACTGTGTAGCTAAGTTTTTACACATCATTATTATCTTTATACATACTACACTGTTTCTTTGTTTTTTGTTTGTCTTTTCCTTTGTTTTCAATGATCAACGTTCCTTTTCGCTCCTTCGGCCACATTTATCTCTCTGCTGGAAATGGCTTTTCCTCCTTTTTTTCCTCTAAATCCACCATTCCATCGATACACATCCATCGCCCAATCATTACCTAAGCAGCAATAGAACGAATGTAAAGTCGGGAGTGTCCGCCCTGTCTTCCACCAGTACTGCGTTTGGAACAGCAGCTAGTAATAACCGCCTTGACCATGCCGGAAATGGACATATCGATGAAGCGCTTCGACAACAAGCTCTTGCGGAAGAGGAGGCTGCTATGAATCAATATAAGGTATTAAAAGATTTATTTTAATGTATTATAAAAAATAACGCATTTTTTTAAAAAAATTATTGTAAAAAAAATATTGGTAACATTTTTATATGTTATTATATATACTAGGCAAAAGTGCAATCTCCATCCAGTGGCCCCAGTACGAATCCATTCCTTAGTTCACCGACAAACAATGCTAATCAACCAATTGTAGATTTATTTGGTGCATCATCAACGATAACGAGTACTGAAAGCCAGGTAACTAAAAATATTTTCATTATAATAATATTTTTTTTTTTTATAAATTATATTGATATTTCAGCCACAAAAAGCATCAGACGATCTACTTCAATTAGCAGGCAATCCTTTTGCGGACATGTTTGGTGGAACACCTCAATCTATAGCTGCACCGACTACACAAACACAGAATAATATGTGGATGACTAACGGTAACGGTAAATATAATTATTTTATTTTGTTTTGTGTTGTTTTTCTTATTTACTATTAATGTAAATTTTTATTTGATCATTATTACATCATAATCATATTTTACGTTATTTCATCGAGATCTTTTTATTTTTTGATTTATAGGTTTTGCTGCAGTGCCTCCAGCAAATAATAATTTTGTTACAGATAATAGTTTCTCTTCTGTATTTGGTAATCAAGATTCTCAATCTGGTGAGTACTTGATTCAACTTTTTTTATTGTTTTATGAAACAAAAATTTATATTTTTTCATTGTTAAATTATCTTTTTTCTTTACATACATATTTTATGTGTATATATTCATTTCTCTTAAAGGATTTTTTTGCTTCATAATATATTTTATATACTATATATTATATAGTAATATAATACTATATAATACTATATATTATATAGTATCAATTCATGATGTTTGTGTAAGTTAATCCTATGAGATGATTATGATAGTGTTCCAGAAGAATTTGATTAAATTAAATTTTCAGATACAAAATATAATTTCTTCCTAATTTATTCTCAAAATTTTTATAAAATTTAGGATTAACTTCTCAAATATTACAATATATCATTAATGTCATAAGAAACATCGTTAATAAGATTGTTGGCCAAAAATAACTACACTAATTACACAAATAAATATGTTGCTTATTACAAATTCAAAAATTATATGAGATAACAATAAAGTTTAAACTTAATTCTTTCTAGCTCATGAAAAAATTTTATTATCACACTAATTTTGAAATTTTGTTGTTATACTCATTTACGCACATGTATTCACATAATCTCATCGTGTACATAAATAGTACAAGGCACGATGAGTAATAGTTAAAAATATTATATTATCTTGCGGCAATTAATCAAAGCAATTTAAAAAAAAAAGAAAGAATTATGCTAATAATTGATGCACCTTGATTTCTGCGCAAGCTGGTGCTCCAGGAACGGCCGGATCCGTACCAAATCCTTTTATGTCCGACTTCCCTTCCCTCGGTTCCCAGTCAACGCAGTCAAACGCAGCCGCTTTCGGTCTCTTCGAGCAGGGTGCCGCGACCAATGTTGCTGCCAATACGAACGGTGGCGATAACCAGCAACAAACGCAGACCGGAGACCTGTTCAGTGCTGGCGGCCAGGCAGATCTCTTTGGGAGCGACTCTGCAGTGCTCAAGACCGTAGAGGGTGTCGCTGGGGAAGCCGCAGATACGGCGTCCTCTGTGACTCTAGCCTCCGGTAAGTCCACTGCCACGCCGCCTCCCAGACCGCCGCCTCCCGCGACAGCGATAAACGGTACGCCTAGACCAACTTCTCCAACGGTGTCCGGAGTGGCTGTTGGCAAACTGTCTTCTGGAACAACAATCACTACCGCCATCGCTCCAAGTAAGAGTGCGTTTGACGATCTGAACGATAGCATTCGAATGGCACTGGGCGGGTCTCCGTCAAGGCCGGCACCCATAGCTCAACAACTGCCGACCGCGCAACAAGCACAGCAACCTCTTCAACAGGGTTTTGGCATGTTTGATATGGCTACCAATATGGCTGCCACCGGGCAGTCGGTCATGTCTGGCGGACCGATGGTCGGCTACGGTATCCCCACCCAAGTCCCGGCGGGGTACGGTTCTCCGGCAAAACAACCGATTTCAGGTGACGGGAATGTATGGTTCTTTCCCTTGCATGCCAGAGGAATCAGTGATGCTTTTCGATAAGTCTCATGAGCTATGTATCGTTATTTTTTTTTGGTATTTTTTACAATTACTTCGATTATTCTTATATGATTTTGTTTCTTTTTTTTTTAATGTAAAAGAATAAAACAAAAAATTCATAAAAATTTAAAGATTATATGAAGATTAGAAAAAATTAATATATATAATATAAAATAAATTAGAACAAATTAGAATCTTTAATTTAGAGATTTTTTTTCCAAAAGCTCAGAGATGTATAGCATCGGTGATTTATGTTATTGTCTTGGTATAGATTATTCTACTAAATTTCTATAATAATTTTTTTAATTTCTAAAATTTCATAAATGGTTGATTATTTCATATCAGTAATTTTTATGCCTGCGTGTGTATGAATTGTTTTCAAAAACTTTTGTAATTTATTTATTTTTTTAAAGAATGTAAGGATATCTTTCATATTGTAATTTTCTCATAAGTGATCGTGAAATAGTTAAATAATAAATAATAATAACATATAAACAGTTATCCGATATTTAATTAGGAATGCATAATATATTTAGTAGATTATATGAATTTATTGATATATATTATATATATATGATATATAATATCATATATATTATATGATATGTTGTTGTCATTTAAGAAATCTTTTTCTTAATATTTTTAATTTTTTGCAGTTGAATGTTAATAAATCTATATTCTATATTAAATTATAATAAATTAAATAATTATATGTTATATATTTATTAGTAGATTTATATAAGTACATTATTTTTAATCAATATAATTATATATTTGTACCATATATTCATTTAGTAAAAAGCATGGCTTTTTTTTTACATAATATTGCTTGAATATATGATCACTAATTGTTATTACTCATGACGAACTTATTATTATTATATATTATTGCCTATAATCTATTACATCAATAATGATTTCATCAATAAATCATGATGATTTATTGAAACAAAAAAAATATATATTTTTTAATATTTTTTATTTAATTATTACAATATTATTTATTAATCAAATTATTAAAAATTTTATGATCAAAATAATACTAAATATAATAATTCGAATTTATTTTTGAATTATATAATCATTTCTATCTCATCTATTTCTTCTATTTCTCTTAAAATTTATTGTTTTTTAATTTATTGTTTCTTATCATTGATGTATGAAAAATGATGTATACAACATAATATTCATAGAATATATTAAAAAAATATATATACAATATTGTTTTAAAATAAACATACCGTTCAGAATCAGCCAGATTTATTACAGATCATGTATTTACATATATTTATATTATTCAGCTTATTTTTGTTTTTAAATAGAACAAAAAAAATAAGAAAAACGACTGAAGAATTCGAGTAAAGCTTTTTAAATTCTCGATTTCACGAACTTTTTTTCATTTTCAAATCTCTTTTATTTTATGATCGATTTCAAATAAAGAAATAGAAATAAGAATATATTTATTTTGGAACAATACTGTATTTAATTATATATATCTTTTATTTTATTCAATATATAATTTATCTCGAGTAATTATAGATAATTGTATGTTATCATTATTTTTCTTGAAATTATGCTTTTTTTTATGTCTAGAAATATATTTCTTATTTCTGTTGTTTAATGCGCAATAAAAACGCGCAATTTTGAGTTATGCTTTTTGGAGCTTTAGCTGATCTAGATGTTACTTAGGTTTTGACGTTTTGGATAAAATCCTAATACCTACCACTGTAGCTGGAGATAATGATATTTCAGTAGCAGGACAACAACAAAATGCAGCGTCTACTGGCAAAGTCCTGACTGGAGATTTGGACAGCAGTCTTGCTAGTCTTGCTCAAAATTTGACCATCAACAAAAGTGCTCAGCAACAAGTCAAGTAAGATTATTTTTGTTACAATAATTACTTTCCTTTGAATATGGAATATTAAATTTTGATTTTTACTTGTACAATGATGATTTCTTTTATTTTTTTTTAGAGGTATGCAATGGAATTCGCCTAAAAATGCTGCCAAAACTGGTGGCCCAGCTGGAGGATGGACACCGCAACCTATGGCAGCTACAACTGGCGCTGGATATCGTCCAATGGTAAGTTTAACGTATTGATCAACTTTTAAACTATAAGGTCATTATCAGCACGTGATTGAACATGATATTTTTGCCATCAGATTATTATGACTCTTAGTATTATAATATAATATTCTTATTTTGATATCGAACTATTATTAGCATGCTATTTTTAATTGTTAGCAGATTATTATTTAGTATAAATAATTATCTCTATTTTGCAATATAATCATAATTAATATTATATTTTTATAAATTAAGTACAAAACAAAAGATTAATAATTTCATTTTTATATCAACATTTTTATGATCTTTGAATATAGTCGTCGCACGCTTGCTTTATTGTTCAATAAGCTTATATATAAACAATAATTATACACTTATTCTTATCTAACAATACTGATAAACACTTATTATAAACACTTATTCTTTTTATGCACTATATTCTGTTTTCATATCATATTACATGTTTGATTGTATTATATTGTTTTATATTCAAATATCATTATCATAATATAAATAAACACCGTTAATAAATAAATGCTAACTTTTTAAAATATAAATTACGAATTCTAAATTATTTTTAAATTAAAATAAATTGTAAACAATTATTATAATGTTAGTATAAAAAAAATAGATATTAAAATATAGTGAACTTGATTTTGAACTTCGATTTATACACTTAGCTGTACAATGCATGTATGGCATATGGCATGCTACCTGTTGTTACAGGGACAAGGAATGACGCAACTTCCTTCAACAACTCTGAGTTTTCCTCCTCATCCTGCACCATTGGTAAGTTGAATTGTTAAGAAATTGTAATGAAACAATTGTATTGCTTGATTTGAAGATTTTATTTTATATATTTTATTGCACATATAATTGATGTCGTTACTAATTAAATTTCTGTAAAAAAGATTACATTATTAATTAATTATTAGATGTAGTCATTAAAAATTATTAAAAATTATAATCATTGTTTTTATTGTATATTATATCCTTTATATTTTCCTGCTTTGCATTAATTTATATATGTGATGCATTTACGTGTTTAATTTAAACTAATTTCTTAGAAAAGAAAAATTAACTTTATATTTTTTCATATATTATTTAACCATTGTATATGGAATACACTATTGTATGATAAATTTATAATATTGTATAATAAATTGTATAATAAATGTAATTTTTATTAATATTGTTTTTATATAATTATTAATATGATAATTGATATGATATTATATTATAATAATTATATATATATTTATAATTATTATATAATTATTATAATTATTAATATGATATTCATATTTATAAAAATGTATATATATTAATTTTGTTATTTTAAAATGATACAAAAGTAATAAAATCAACACAAATTATAAGAATCCAAGTCATGATTATAATATATATAATTATATGATTATATATATGATTATATATATATATTAAAATATATATTTTCAGAATAGTTGCAATAAATTCCATATATTTTGGTTTAATTTGAATACAAATAATTATTTGTTGGAAGCATTAAAGGAAATACGAAAATATTTGGATTGAAATAGTAAGAAGTATAAATTGTCTGACCATACGGATTTCTGGTGTTCTTAGGGAATGCAAGGTGTGCCAATAGGCATGCAAAGTATGCAAGGCATAAGACCTATGATGAGCACAATATCTGGTGGACCTAGTAACATGATGGTCACAGGAGGAGCTGCACCAATGATGATGTCTAGTTCAAATTCAATGATGGGTACTAACCTTCAGCAACAACCACAACAGCAACCACAGCAGAATGTTGCGCAATCACAAAATAATCAAGTCCAACTTGATCCGTTTGGTGCCCTGTGAACAAATTAGGTATCTATTTGATATCTCCTTGTGAAGAGAGAATTATCAATAATAAAATATGGATTATGATTTTAATTAAGTAAAACATTATTTAATTGAATATTTAAAATACTTATAAATTTTGCCTCTTCACATTCCCATTTTTTGAATTTTATGAATTTTCAGTTTGCGAATGAACAGAAAAATGTATTAATTTGGTAATGTTATTTTGAAAAATTTTTTATTCAGAAGTAACAAAATTATATATATATGAATATAATTAACTATCAATATATATTTGTGATTAATATATAATATAGCATGATTATGTATGAGTCTATAAAACGATAGAAGCTTTGATTACAAATATTTAATAATTTTTTAATAGATTTTGTTTTAAATATAATATACATATATAATAAGATATGTATCTAACAATGCATAATTTGAAGTTTATTCATCAGGCTTATTTACTAATGCTAACAATTTCCAATGCTAATAATTAATAATATTACATATCTGCATTCACAAAATGATTGATGACTAATGATTGAAATCTTGTCAGACAATAATTCAATTTTATGATAAAATTAAAAAGACATATTATTTGTCTATCCAAATAATAAATGAATACATTATTTAAGTTTTTAGCTAAATGAAACAATTTTGTTCGTGAATAACTGGAATACATGAATAATTGGACAAAAATAATAATATAAAAAGTAATAAAAATTATTTATAGCGGAAAACATAATTTGTTAAACTTTTATATTTTTCATTAATGATTATTTTTAATTTATTCATAAAAAATGATTCTTTTTCTTTTTACAGGAGTTTTTATTGGAACCAAACAAACGAAACAACTTTGTAAATATCATGTAATATGCCTAGGAAATGTGCCCTGCTTGCTCTCGTTATTCTATGTCATTTGTAACGAATCGGCATGCATAAAGAAAAAGAAGAATATTGAAGCTTATCGTTGGATTGTCCTGCGGGAAACGCAACGGTGCCGACAAATATATATATATATATTATATTATATTATATTAATATATAATATATATATAGTAAGTCCGTATATATATTTTATATATATATATATATATATATATATATATATACATACACATATTTACTGCTGATTGGGTATAATCACATACGGATTTACTCAAATTATGGCAGTTGCCTTAAAAAAATACAGTAGTCTCAGCCCTTCCCCCTCCCTATTTTGCGATGCGAGTAAAATTATACAAAAAGAAAAAAATAGAGAACTTCGACAGAATTATAAAAAAAAAAAATTACAAACCGTATTACGTTTAGAATTCCATGAGATATGTAGATGCAACTATTCCGTAAAAGTTGACTGTGATAGTATTGCATCAACATGTAGTGTTTTCCAATTGAAGGAGGAATTTATAGAAAAGCTCCTGAGAGTATGCATATGAAAGAAAAGATGAATGAATGAAAAATGAATGAAAAAGGAGTTTTCCTAAAAAAAAATAGGAAGTTCAAAGTAATTCCATACAAGCTTTATACATATTAAAAGATGTATCAAGTTTGAATGTATCATTTTTCTTGTTAATATACAAGTAACATTATTGATGGGGTTTTCATCATGATAATTCTAAACGTATATACGTTATGAAAATTATATTTGGCTGATGCATGATGTATTTATAGTAAAGATATGATAAGATAAAATTATGTGTGTTACGTATATATGTGTACATATGTATTGTGCAGATGTATATGTACTATTATATTTCAGAATTCGCGCGAGGGTATACAACGTAAAAATATAAATATTATTTGAAGAAAAAAAAAATTGTGTATGTACATGCGCGTCCGCGCGTATATATATATGTATGTATGTGTGTGTGTATGTATATGGTATAATTCTAATAACAGTGTATCTATATCGCTCTCAGTTTCACTTTTTTTGTACTATCTTTACCGATATATATTTTTATTTCGACTCAGGGCGCTGAAGCAGTTACAATATATTCTTTATTAAAGTATTAAATATTAAATAATAACAATATATATAGTGAACAAGTAAGAATGAAAAATGTGCATGAATGAAAAGTAAAATAGAATATTAGGTGGTGTCACTAATGTTCTTTATCCATACCGTTCCGAACTGTCTTAATTAGATAAAAAAAACTATATATACAAGTTAAGATTATGATACTCATGCGATAAATTATGATAAATGTAACACGTGAATCTACGCGGATTCAGTATGGTACTATTAATATAGTCAATAATTCCTGTTCTAAGGTCTAATTTGGGATTCATTTTATCCCCTTGGCACGTGCAGCTATCTCCATAAATAATATTTGCAATATATTACCAATATATATTCTAGAGATAAATATTCTTATTTGGTACCGCAACTCCTCCAAAGGCTGCATGGTAAGCTAAGCAAAAAGAAAAAAAAAGCTGTAAAATGTATTGAAATTCAAATTTAACATTATTTTCTGTGACATATTATATTCTTATAAATTTTTTTCATAACTGATTCGAACGGTGTTTATGATTAGAGGAAATGTAAGAAGAATTTAAAGAAACTGGAAATGAGACAAAAATGTTTTACAGAGGTCTCTTTGATATTGATTTACTACTTTATTATAGATCACTTTTGCAATTAACAATGATTTTCGCTTTATTTGAAAAATTTCAAGCAATCTAAAACATCTTGGTAAGATTTTTCAAATTTTTATAAACTTCAATGAAACATTCCCATTAAATGTTAAACTTAAAATAATAGTTAAAATTTTATTCGCAAGTAAGTAAAATGTAGCTGTTTCCAGCGCAGCAGAAATTCTTTGATCAAGATAGGAATATTAGTTATAATTGCAAAAGAAAAGAAAGAAAATGTGAATCGTTGAAAATACGAGAAAGTATAGTTCAAAATATTGGATTTTAAATGATCAGGAGTGCATAAATATTACACAATTGGACTGTACAAGATTAAAAATATGCAAAATATTAAAGTATCAATATAACAAATGACAGATTTGTTATACTGATTTGAAGATTTCAAACAAATCTCTTTTGAACAATGAGTAATAATTTCCAATTCTCCAAATATTATTGGTTTAGGAATTTGTGTACTCCTGATACAAAGTCTGTGACTTATTTAGTTTAAGTGTTTTCATATAATATGTTCATATAATATGTTCTAGGAGTTGGCAGAAGTAATAATCATAGGAGACTAGATCAATACAATATGTTCAATTAATGAATCATGTGAGAAAAAACTGGTCACTATTAAGTTTAAGAAAGCAATTTTTGTTTGAGCAAGTTTTATATAATTTTAAAAAATTTTCTCTAAAAATATATTAGAAATAATGTTATTATTTTTAGGAAATAAAAAAGGGAATTTGAAATAATAAGATTTTATTTTTAGAAAGAATAAATTCAAACAACACAATACAAAATTTTTTCACGATTATTTTCTTAATTTTGAAAAGAAGAGAAAAAATATTTATTTGTATAAAAAAGAAATATATTAACTATAAAAAATTTAATATATATTATAATATGTTTATAAGTAATAAAGAAATTTTTGAACAGTAAAAACAGAAGATCTAATAAAGTTAAAATTAATGAAATTTCACTTCATACAAAAAAAAAATAGAAAATATGATAATGTAGAAATTCATTATTTCGGATTTGTTCAAAGTCGTTCAAAAATTGTATTATATCATCAATTGAGGAAATAATAATTTTTATTTTTTTATTATTTTTTTTTTAGATTTAATTATTATTATTTTTTTTTTTTAGATAGAAAACAACGAAAAAAATGTAAATTGATCTTTTTCTACATAAACATCTTGAAATCGATTAAATGATTGTACAAAGAAATTTAGAACAATATTTTACATTCTAAAATCTTCGTATAAACTTATTGGTGATCAAGTATAACAGGACAATATTACATATACATATATAATACATATTTTATCGAAAATTATAGGGCAGTAGTGATCTATCTAAATCTTCTGTGTCTAAGCTAGCGAAAGATGATATAATTTTTAGAGAGAGGGGGCGGGGGGAGAGAGAGAGAGAGAGAGAGAGAGAGAGAGAGAGAGAGAACATTGGATTAATATTTCTCATTAATCACCAGCAGCACGTTCAGTGTTATGGAAGAATTCTATCTACTAGCTTCTTCTTTTTTACAATATATTAACTTTATAGAGCAATTATTGTATACATTATTAATGATTACTGGTTGACTGAAAAGGGTCCACTAGTGTTCTGATTCACAATTGATAGAATGGATACGTAGCTCAAAATGATACTCAAATGTTATGTAAATTATACATTCAGTAAAAATATAGCACTATTTTCTTTTATACTAATAACTTATCATCATCATCATCATCATTATCATCATCATCATCATCATTATGATTATTATCATTATTATTATTATCATTATTATTAATTCAGTTATTTTGAGCAACGTAATAGATAGTTAAAGGTGCATATTTTATTTTCAACATTTATCTATTAGATGAAATGGTAAACAATAAAATTTCAAGAAAACAATAAGTTAAACTTATTGTTTATTAATTCTATGTCCTATTTATAATTTTCAAGTGTACAGTTTATTCCTAAATAGAAGTAAAAATCTATTCAGAATTATTGTAAATATATTTAGATATTTAGTTAGATGAAATGTACATATCATTAATTTCTTCTATAGAAGAGTCCATTCTATTCGATTGTGAATTAATTTAATTAATAATTATAAAATTTAAGTTGTTTATTATAAAGAATAGTAAAAATTTAATTAGTGGAGGACACTGAACGTGTTAAAAGTGTTATTCTGGAGAAACCTGTGTTAAATCGCTAGCTTTTAGCGTAAATATTTTGTTTAAAGAGAAAGTAATGACAGAGAGAGAGAGAGAGAGAGAGAGAGAGAGAGAGAGAGAGAGAGAGAGAGAGAGGGAGAGAGGAGAAAGGAGAGAGGAGAGAGATGAAAAATTAAACGAGCTGGACCGAATCAGTATATTGGTAACAAACTAGAGAATCTATAGAAACATGGAGAAAACTCGCTATTTTTTCTGATTATCTTGATGAAATATTCTAGTATGCCATATTATATATTTTGTTTTTTCTGTTTTATCTTCCGTTAAAAAAGTCTCTCTTTAAATATAGTCACAATTCATCTGCGTTAATTCAAACAGAAAATATATATCGAGTAAAACATGTGTTGAGATATTATTATTTATAATTAATTTGTATTAATTGTCATTAATATCATTATGCGCTATAAATATGTTGTAAACGATTATTATGTAACGCATGAATGACGTTTAATAGAGTATTTATTGAAATTATCATTCGTGTCTATTCTTCAACCATAAGAAATACTTATTCATTTTATTTTTAAATATTTAAGTTTGATCAATTTTTCTAAATTTTTCAAAATTATATATAAATAATTATATAATAGTTTTAAGATTACTATCATTTAACTAATAATAGAAAGATATCAAGTTATTTTTAATCAATGAAATAATTAATAAAAAATACTCTTAATCTATAAAAATTCATATACATGAAGGATATAAATAATTAGAAAAAAATAATAATTTATGAAATAAATTTAAAAAATATTATTAAAAAAAGAAAATTATAAAAGTTAGAAAAATTAGATTTATACAAAATGAGATAAACATGAAAATAATTTTTTTTTTTGCAACTATTTTCTTACAGGTAGTGGGAGGCTTACGTTGTACAAACGTACACAATTGCATTAAAGCTGAGTAAGATAACTTCAATCAACATTCTAACTAACGATGTATGATGATTGTATCGTGTGCCATTCCCAAGAACGGTTCGACTTTTACGTGAATTCTTGCTTTGTAACATTTATAAAAGATGACCTCCGCTCAGGAAAATATTAGGTATGTTATTTCATTGTTTTCTATTACAATAATTATGCTGTAATATTATTATTAATTATTGCTAAAAATTTTATAAAAGAATAATTTTATAAAATTTGTTTTTTTTTTATATAACTTTATATTCAATAACGAGAAATTTATTGTTTAATATACATTATTTGATATTGCTATTTCATTCATTTTTTTTCCTATTTTTTTTTAATTTAAACTTACAATGTTGTTTTTTTAAGCTGTATCAAATTGAATTACTTAATTTTGATTATAACATAATGCTTAATTTCAAAGAAAATAAAATAAAAATAAATATAACTTTGAGCAAAAATGAATTTAAGGTTCTCTTGTATGTTTCTCTGTAGTAAAAGTTAATTGTTATTCAGTTAAAAAAAATGTCTAGTCAATTATGTTGAAATTTAATGGAATGTTGTAAACAAAAAAATTAAAAAAAAAATGTTTTAAAAAAAAATTAATTTAGATAAAGAAATAAAATATCAAAAATATAAACTTATATAAATTTGAATAAATAAGCACTATTCAATTAAATTATTTTCAAGTCGATAATGAAATTTTATTTATTATGTATACTATATAATAATACATAGCTATGAAAATATTCTTTATATATTTCTTTTAATAAATAATATTACTAAAAGATATTATTTATGTAATAATATTAAACTTATTTATTGTAAAAAATATCTTTTTTAAATTCTTTGCTTAGAGTTTTGAAGGTTATAGATGTTTTTATGCAAGTGAATATTTCTTTTTATTGTTTACTTAAAATATCTTTATTTCAAAATCTCATTGAAAAAAATTAAAAATTGAAAATATTTAAAAAATTTGTAAATTTTCATGAATACTTAAATGTAGAATCAGAGAAATATTTAATACGAAAGATTAAAGACAAAAGAGATATGCTTATTTTTTGCTGATTGATAACAAGGAGTTATTTGATTATATTTATAAATGCATCTTATATAATATTATAATATACAATACTATAATATTATTGTATATACAATAATATACAATAATAATATACAATAAAATACAATAATATACAATACTATAATATCATAATATACATATGTATTTTTATAATCGTATCAGGATTATAGAATTAATTAATCATTTTTTTATCAAATCATTTTGTAATTTTGCAACATTCCATCATAAATTATCATTAAAAATATTTTGTTGTTTATTTTATATCAATTTAATTTATATTTACATATATAACTATTTTCATTTTTTTTATTTAAATTCATTCGTAAAATAAAAGATTCGAAAAAAAGTGAGAAGTAAAAAAAAAAGTCATAAATCTTTATATATTTTTGATATTTTAATTCATTCATTTCATGTTTAATTCATTTATTTTAAAAATTTTTATTTAATTAATTTCTTATTGATATGTAATGTGGAAGTGCTATTATCTTAATGAAATTACATATTTCTCAAGTTCATATTTATCAAGATACCACGTTTATATATTGGTGGCTTTTAAAAATTAAAGGTTTATAAAAATATATATATATATATATTTTGAATATACTTCAGTATTAACTTACAAGAATAAAGAATGATTAGAAAGAAGAATAATAAAGATGAAATAAGATTCTATCTAAAAATTTAATTTATTCTTCAGAAAGTTCAATATTATTTTAAACTCAAATTATAATTATGATATGTCCCTATCAATACTACAATTTTCATTTGAAATATTTTTTCATTTCTACTTATATAAATAATCACATATAAATAAAATGGATATATTGTATGTTTATAATAAACTTTTTTTTTAAATTTCAATTATAAATATAATTATATTAATATACAAAAATAAATAAAGTAATAATTAATATAGTAATAATAAAAGCATTATATGTTATGATAGTTTAAGCATAGTAAATATAATAATAATAATTGTAATAATATACAATGATATATTAAATTATATTTCTATTTTTTTTTACTTTTTGTTATGTAAATTATAATTTATAAATAATTATTATGTAAAATATATAAATCATAAATATATAATAAATATATATAATATATATATATAATAAATATATAAATATATATAATAATATATAATAAATATATAAATCATAAATTATTATAATTAAAATATTGACTTTATAATGATAAATAAATATTAAAGTTATTCAGAAAAATGTGTTAAATATCTATAATGTTCAAATTCTTATGAATTTGTGCTGCATATATATACTTAATTCGCATGCAATACATATTTAAAAGAATCTATATATTTGTGTGCACTTATATATACAATTTTTTGCAATATAATGATTACTTAATGAATGCTATGAAATAGATAGCTTTTCTAATCATATTCCATTTATGCTTCCAAGAAAAATATCTTGTTATTGTTATCTAACAAAGTAGTATATTATTTAGCATAGTAGTTGAAAAAAATATATCGTTAAATGATTCACTATTTTTTAAAATTGATAACTTTTAAAGCTGATTATCATTCATGAAGTTGATGAACATTGTACATCATTTTTTAACTATTGCGTTTATTGTATACTGTTTTTTGTTAGCAACATCGAAATTACTAAACATAAGAACGTTGCAATATAATCTACTTAAAAAAATAAGTCAATAAATAAAATAAAATAAATATGACAGCTTAAAAAATTAAAATAAAATAAAAATTGAAGAATGGAAAAAACTAATTTTTAATAGAAAAAACCGAAATATTATTTATTAATATTTTTTTTAAATATTTACATTACAAAACTTATTTGTTACATGTATTTACTACTACAATTTATATAACTTTATAATATTTTTATTTTAATATTTTAAAGACTTATTAATTAACAATAAAAAAAATTTATATTTTAAAAAAAGATATAAATCCATTACATGGTTTTGTTAAAAAGGTTATCAATGCTTTATTAATGCCAATATAAATTTTTTTATTTGGAATAATTGAAACATTTAATATCTATAAAAAGATAAAGAATTGACTATATTTATTATTGTCTAAATAGAATTTGCAAACATCAACCTAAAAAACTCTGGAAAAAGGAGGAGGATCTTTACAATAAATAGGTTATGCATATAATATAAATACTTTTAGAAATATTAAAATTGAAAGAAATACAATTGAAATACACATGTATTTAGATAAACTTAAAAGGATAACTGGTATATATCACATATGAAATCTAAATTCCTTATTTTGAGTTATTTCAAACGAAATCATCACTATTATCGATATAACTCAAAGAAAATTGCATTCTGTTTGTATTAATTATCTCTTCAGAAAATTGTTCTCATTAAAAATATGCAAATATATTAAAGATAAAATTCTCAAAGAGTTTCTTTCAAAAATTTTTTTTTTTACAAATAGTTTTGTAATAAGAGCATTTATACGAGAATAATTTTCACTTTCAACATAGTATCTGTTAGCTAAAATAATTTTCTCAATAATAATTTTCAAAAATTTTTCAGATATATTCGCATCTTCAATTAGATCTTTTTTTATGATTCTTCTTCATTATCCTTGGTCGATCAAAGTATTAACTTGATCTAAATTTAAAGGACTAGAGTATTTTTTCGAGTTATTTACGCACTATTGAAAATAATATTACGATTTCTATTAATATTTATTTTACATGTTTGCCGATTTAAATTTTATCTTTTTTATTTCTTTGATAAAATCGATTTTGTTTAAATATAATCTAACATCTTATAAATATTAAAATGATTAGAACATTGTTTAAAATAAATATTTTTTTACTTTATATTTTTTTACAAATTAATGAATCATTGGTTATATATCTTATAATAATACATTTTATAATATGATAAATTTTTTTATTCATTCATTCAATTTTTCTTCGTTATTATTATCAATATTATTATTATTAATGTTTATCTATATGTATATAATTTATAATAATTTAATGTGAAAATTTAATTTTAAAAGTATGATATGTAATGCTAAAAAATTAAAATTTATGTTACTTACATAAAAAATTCACATAATAATTTACAATTTTAATATCAAATGCAATTCTAATATAATTATCATTCAATTGATATTAGATACAGTTGATAATGAATAAATATATCATAAATAAAATAATACTAATTTTTTATTTTTAATTTTTAATTTTTAAAATAATACTAGTTTTTTTTTTACATTTATACAAATGCAGATTAGACTAAATCAATGTTATGAATAATAAAAATAACATTATAAATAACATTATAAACATTATAAAATATGTTACATAAACAATGAAATATATCTTTTTTATATAAACATTATTATAAAAATAATTACTGTTTTTATGTATAGATCTATAGAATAAAGCACAATATTACAAACTTTTTTGAAATTAATACAGATTAATTAAGATATTAATTTTTTATATTTGACAGATTTTTAAAATCAATTTAAGAAACGAAAAACGTTCCGATAAAAGAATTATATCAAATTTTTTTTTTTTTTATGTAGAATCATTATCCGATTATATATATATATACGATTATTATACTATTCTACGTACGAAAATATTTTTCGTACATATTATTATATTATATCTACAAATATAATTTGTTGACTCGATTAACATTCACTTTGAAAATAAATTGAAAAAAAATTTTTTTCGTTTTTTTATTTATCGATAATTTTAAACATATAAAGTATCAGATTCAAATTTTTAGACTTATTAGGACTATAGATAAAAAGTTTTTCTTTTTAAAAAAAAATATTTTTTGTTTCCTAATATTTTATATTAGCTATTATTAATTATTACCAAATAATATCAAATATGCAAAAATAAATTAAAAATCCATAAAACAAAGTTTTAAAATTATTAAATATTAAAATCATCGAATCATTATTAAAGTTGATAAAACAAGTCTTTTGTAAATAATTATCCATTTCAAAATTTAGAAACATTGCAGAATTGTATATAAATAAAATAAAACTTATTCCTAATGTTTATATATGTTTATCCTTTCATGAGAAAATCAATTTTATAATTTTAAATAATATATGTATCTATTATTATAATTGCTATGAGAATAAAAAAATTAAGAAAAGAGTTGGAATTGAATTTATGATTTACATATATTTTTCATTAGATACTTGAGAAATATTAAACAGATAATCGAAAAATCATTATTAAAATATTTTTTTTCAAATCGCTTTATGATTGGATATATTGTTTTACTATTTTGCTTCACTATTTACGAGATGTATTGCTTCACTATTTATGAGATGAAAAAAGGAAAATTACTCATATAGAGAAGCCATTTAGTTTTAAGTATTGCGATATTAAACTATTATTGTTAAATATTTTAAGTCAATTTTGATGTTATGTAAGATTTGAAATTGCATTGTAATGTATGTAATTTTCATTCATTAAGCCCATTTTTATATATTATCTCTTTTGTGATAAATTTTTTTTTTGCATATTCACTCGATTGTATATTCATTTGATAAATATCATATACCTACTTTTTTTTATCATTTATGCTTAATATTAAATACATTTTTAATTGCATATAATTGCAATTTAAATTAAATATATAATTAATATGCAATTAGTCATTATTATATGATTTTATTTTACAATTTTATTTTTATTTTTATTTTTTTTTTATTAAATATTATTTATATTACAATTTTTAAGTAAGAGTAATATGTTATAAGATAAATTATCTTTATTCTCTATTGAAAATTTCTTTTTGAAAAATATTTATAATTTTATCGAAACAATAATGTAAAATAGAAATCACTTTAATCGATTATAATGAATTTGAAAATACTTTTTACGCTTAAAAAAAATCATTAAATTATAAGATAAGAACAAGAGGATTTCCATCCTTCATTCACCGATATACCATAAATCTTATCTGTAGATAAGTCATTTCGGATTAATACATGTATCTATTTATGAATATATTATCCATTCAATTAGATTCATATTCATTCCAAGAAAATTTATTTTACACATATTGTTAAAAATAAACTTGAATACATTTTTTGTTTAGTATACTGCCGGTTTTTTCATATGAGTAAAATTTGATATATATTTTTAATATGAGTAATATTTTTAAAATCGAATTATTTATAATAATTATAAATCTTAAATTATATTTCTTAGAGAAAAATAATGCATCAGAAGAGTCATTTTTTATGTTTCAATATTTGTAAACAAATGTCAAATTTAGTTTTACATACTTAGAAAATATAATTATATTAAATTATTTTTTTATTTATCAAACTCAAATTTAAGTCAAGTCTTAAATCAGTTAATTATTTTGTCAAAAAAATCGAATAAATCGAATATATATTATATTTTATTATATTTATATTAATATCAAATGTAAAAAATTATTTAAAATTTTGACTGTAAAATAATGAATATAATTTCATGAATTATTATTCACATGAATTTATTTGAAGTAATTAATTTGAAAAGCAATCTTATAGCAATAAATGTATAATATATTTTAATATATATATATATATAATAAATATTTTTTAACATTCGATTAAAATATTTTCAATTCTTTTGCATTATCTCTAATTATTTTTGAATTATTTTTTATCAAGATCTTTATTTGATTATAATCTGATATTATTCTTTATCTAATAAAATATAATTATTGATAAGAAAATTTTTGAAATTGAATTATGAATTTGAATTATGAAATCTTGCATCAAAATTTTTAATTATTTATAAAAAAATAAATATATATATCTTGATTTATTGATTAATGTAATAATTATTATTTCAGAGATTCTAAGAACATTATACAATTTATCATCAATGAACAAAGTTATATTGGTTTGTATTTATTAATTGTAATAATCGAAAAATAAAATAGTAACAATTCAATAATTATAACTATTTTTTTCAGTAAAAGAAGATATTCCGCCTGATACTACTCTGAATATCTTTATTCGAGATTATGCTAAACTACGAGGAACTAAAGCTATGTGCCTCGAAGGAGGTTGTGGTGCATGTATTGTATCAGTAAAAGTTAAGGATGAGGATATATCTGTGAATTCTTGTTTAGTACCAATTCTTATTTGCAATGGGTAAGACTAAGAACTAAGTAATTTATTGAATTTATTATTTTTATATCACTGATATTTCAAATTACTTAATTTTATCATTTTATCATTTTTTACATCATAGATGGATCATAAAAACAATTGAAGGTTTGGGTAATAAGAAAAATGGCTATCATACTTTACAGACAGGATTAGCAGGAAAAAATGGTTCTCAATGTGGTTTTTGCTCACCTGGAATGATAATGAATATGTATAGGTATATATATAATTTGTATTTATATTTTATTTTAATAAAAATCTCACAAATAAATTTAATAAACTTCATATTTTTTAGTCTCTTAAAAAAAAAAAATTTAACAATGAAGCAAATAGAAAATTCGTTTGGAAGTAATATATGTCGTTGTACTGGCTATCGACCGATTCTAGATACATTTAAAGCATTCGCCAATGATGCTGAGGAAAATCTTGTTAAAGATATTCAAGATATTGAAGTATGTCAAGCAAGATATCAACATTAAATAATATCATATTATTTAAGCTATATTTGAAATTTTAATAATATCAATTATAAGTAATTTTTCTTAATCTTTCTTAAGTATTAGATTTTATAGAGATAACTATTTTATTTATTCAAAAAGATGTTTTATTCAATATTATTCATTATTTACATTTTTATTTGTTATATTCTATTTAAATCTTTTATTGAAAAATATTTTTCTATGATAAAAAATTTTTTTATTTAGGAATTATTTAATATAAAAACTTGTAAAAGAATTAATGCGTTGTATGAAAATAGTTGTAATTGTTGTTGCACAGTCATTCAGAAGACAGAACATAAAATTGATATGAAATTGGATAATAGTGAGTTTCATAAAATTCTATCAATTGATGATTTGTTTGCATTATTTCAAAAGAATTCAAATGCAAGCTACATTTTACATGGTGGCAATACTGCACATGGTATATATACAATTATTAATAATAATTTATATTAATTTTATATTATTAAATTTTATTTATTACATAATATATAATATATATATTTTTTTTCTTGTAGGTGTGTATCGATCGAAAATACCAGATATAATTATTGATATAAACGATATATCTGATTTGCGTAATATAAGAAAAGATAATGATACTTTAACTATTGGAGGCAATGTCTCCCTTACTGTAGCAATGGAAACTTTTGAAAAATATTCAAAAGAACCAGGATTTAAATATTTACAGCATTTGGCTAAACATATTGATTTAATTGCTAGTGTTCCTGTGAGAAATGTAGGTAAATCCAATTAAGCATATGTAATAAATATAAAACAAATAAAATAAATAAAAAACTTTATATTGCAGATTGGATCTGTAGCAGGAAATTTAATGATTAAATACGAGCATCGAGAATTTCCATCAGATTTATTTTTAATTTTGGAAACTGCGGGAGCACAATTGCATATAGGTAAATAAAAGAATTTAAATAAAAATATTTTAAATATTTATATATGTAAATTGAATATTTTCATTTTTTCAGTGGAAGTTGGTGGCAAGAAAACTGCCATGACATTACTTGAATTTTTAAACTGTAATATGAAACATAAAATTATATACAGTATAATATTGTCGGCTCTTGGCGAGGATTACGAATACAGATCTTATAAAGTATACTTTTTATATTATTATTTTATGTAATTGAATTATCTAGAATAATAATTTTTATCAAGAAAATTAAACTTAGATAATGCCGCGATCACAAAATGCTCATGCTGCTGTAAACGCAGCATTCTTGTTTAAATTGGATGGAAGTGGAAAAGTACTGGAGAAGCCAAACATTATCATAGGTGGAATAAACAAAAATTTCGTGAGTAAAAACTAAATGTAATAAAGATAAATTGAAAGATGTAAATAAATAGATTTAAAAAAGAATTAAATTAATATTTTCAGTTGCATGCTTCAAAAACTGAAAATTTTTTATTCGGGAAATTCATCTTTGAGGAGAACATAGTTAAACAAGCTTTAGATATATTAGATGCGGAGATACAACCTGACTATGTTTTGCCTGATTATTCTCCAAAATTTAGAAAAATACTTGCAGAAGGTCTTTTCTACAAAGTTTGTATTTTTGGATAAGAAATTATTGAAATTTCTAGTATAATTAAATATTTATATGAAAAAAATTCTTTTATAGTTTATTTTAAGTATTAAACCAGAAAATGTGAATCCAACATTACGCAGTGGTGGATCTATTTTAGAGCGTGGATTGTCTTCTGGAAAACAAAATTACGATACAAATAAATATCTATGGCCTTTGAATCAGCCTTTGCCAAAAATGGAAGCTATATATCAAACATCGGGTGAAGCACATTATACAAATGATTTTCCACCATTTCCAAATGAAGTTTTTTGTGCTTTTGTTCTTACCACAGTAGCTAATGGAAAAATAAAGAACATCGATGCTTCTGAAGCATTGGTATTTTTATTAAATTTAAATAAATTTAAATATTTTGCAAATTTTAACATTTTTAAACCATTAATTTTTAATTTTAAATTTATAACATTTATTATATATTTTTCTTGTAAATTTGAATATATATTTCTAGAAAATGAAAGGAGTAATAGCATTCTATACAGCTAAAGATATTCCTGGAAAAAATTTATTTATACCAGCAAATGCTCAATTATTATTCTTGAATTTTGATGAAGTAGTAAGTTAGATCATTAAAAAAAAAAAATGTTATTTAAAATTTAATATTCAAAATTTATAACTTATCTTAATTTTTTATATTTTAAGCTTTTTGTAGATACAAATATTGAATATGCTGGACAGCCAATCGGAGTAATTGTTGCTACAACTTTTACAATTGCTAATCAAGCAGCACAAATAGTAAATGTTTCCTATATTGATTTCATACCAGAAAAAATATTATTAACGATTGAGGATATACTTGCATTGAATGATAATACCAGAGTATATGAATCAGCTAATTCCATTGCACAAACCAAAGGTGCAAATATAATATTTTGGATAAAGTTTATACAAAATATTTCATTTCATAATTATTCATTCACATATTATTGCAATTTTATAGAACTAAAATTTTTATTATTCTTTATATTAAATATAAAAATATTATTATTCTAAATTTATATTATTGTTTATTATTTTTTTTTTGAACTCATTAAATTTGAATATCATAGGAAATGATGTGAAACATGTAATAAAAGGAACATTTAGAAACGGAAGTCAATATCATTTCACTATGGAAACTCAAACATGCGTTTGTGTGCCAATAGAGGATGGAATAGACGTTTTTGCTGCAACTCAATGGATGGATCTCACCCAAGTAGCCATAGCTCAGTGTCTTAATATAAAAAATAATAAGTAATATATACAAAATACAATGTTGAATTTATTCAATTTATTGTTTTTTAAAATTGCTAATTTTAATTTTACAGTATTAACATTAATGTGAGGAGATTAGGAGGTGCTTATGGTGCAAAAATATCTCGTGCTACACAAATTGCTTGTGCTTGTGCTTTAGTATGCTATAAATTAAATCGACCAGTTAGATTCATTATGTCGATAGAAAGCAATATGCTCGCTATAGGAAAACGATATGATACTCGTCAAGAATATGAAATTGGTGTAAATGATGACGGTCAAATTCAATATTTGAATTCAAAACACTGGGGCAACAGTGGTTCCAATTTTAACGAATTTCATGCTCCTACAGTTGTAGAACAAATGAAAAAGTAATATATAGACACAATTTTAATTACTGAGACAACAAATTAGAAATATATTTAAAGTAAAGATATATTTAAAATTATAATTGGAATTATAGTTTTTGAGATATTAATAAAAATTATTACTATTATTACATTGAATTATATCCATATATATACTTTCATGATAGTATATATATCAATATGCTACTTACTTATTTATTATAAACACATTGTGGTAGCTGATATCTAAAATATATAACTATACAAATGAACTATTTTTAGATCTGCAAAATATCAAAATTTTTTATGGATAAATATATTAATTATATTAATTATATTAACTCGCTAAAGTTTATCTATCATGCATTTTAGATGTCGACTATAGCAATGTATTTATAAAAGCAATTTATATAGATAAGTAATAGCATATTGATACACATTCTATCATGGCTTTACATATATAAAATCTCAAAAATTATGGTAATGTAACTATTATAATTCTTAAAAAATCAAATTGTTGATGAAGTTATTTTTCTAATTTGTCTTCTAATTTATTGCCTCAATAAATTCAAATCAATATATATTATAATAAATAAAAAATCATATATAGAAATTCTTTTTTATAAAAATTTTAGTTGTTATGATTACACTACTTGGACTTATCAAGGCTTTGAAGTTAAAACTGACTTGCCTTCCAATACTTTTTGTCGAGCTCCAGGTATTTCTAATCAACAATATAGTGAAAAGAAATAATTTTTCTAAAGTTAAAATTTAATTTAATTTTCTAATTTTATTTTAATTTTTTTTCTAGGTTCAACAGAAGGTATAGCTATAATAGAAAACATAATGGAACACATAGCAAAAACTGTTGAAAAAGATCCATTAGAAGTTAGATATGCAAACATGATTGAGGATCATAAAAAAGTATTACAGCCTATGATAGAAGAACTATGTCAGAATGCGGATTATGATATCAGAAAAAGAGCTGTAGATATTTTTAATGCTGTAAGAATATTTAATTTTTTATTGTAATTTTATTATTATATAAAATATTGATTATAATGAAATTTATATTTATAGGAAAATCGATGGAAGAAGAAAGGAATAAGTTTGATACCTATGACGTATCCTTTGACTATTTTTGGTCAATTTCATGCACTTGTTTCGATTTATGCACGAGATGGCACAGTTTCTGTTACCCATGGAGGAATTGAGTGTGGTCAGGGAATTAATACTAAGGTATTATCAAATATCATAATTAAATCTTTTTATAAATAATATACTAAAAAATTTTTAATAAAAAAAAATTTTTTTTTCATTATAGGTAGCTCAAGTAGCAGCACATACTTTAGGTATTGACTTATCATTGATCACTGTAAAAGCAAGCAACAATTTAACATCTCCAAATAATATGGTTACTGGTGGTAGTGTTACCAGTGAGACTTGTGCATATGTAATGCATTTGTTTGTTTATTATTACCTTATATATATCATATATAATATTATATATAGAAAATATGATCATTTTTCCAATTAGCTCTCTCTCATCTTAATAAGTTTGAAATGTTGTAAAAGATTTTATTTTGAATAATTTTTTTTAAGCATAATCAATGATTGACTTTAGGAGTTATTTGCAAAATTTTTTGATACTGTAATTTTGAATTTTACTTATATGTGCATTCATAATAATATATTTATTAGTATGTTTATTAGTTGTTATTTATTTATTTATTAAGTTACATAATTTTTACTAACATATGAACTGCACAGAGCATAGAAAGATTTGCGTTTTGATATTTAAACTGAATTTCATTTATTTATAATGAAGTTGGCGGAGCAAAACACAAATTAGAAAAAAGGATGAATTCCGTAAACGCTGATTTTATTAATAATTATTAATTTATTATTCATTATGAGAATGCTTCAGTGATTGGAATGTTACATACAGATTTTATACAGATAAAATTTAATGCAATAGTTTTTTACAAAAGTTTTTTACGAATAATTTAAAAATTAGAAAAAATTAGAAAAAATATTTATATTTAACATAATAAAAGTTATTTAAAATAATATCTTTTAAAATATATTTCAAATTAATTAATATTGATGAGGAATATAATAAACGGATTAATCGAAAATATATGCTATTTAAAAATACATATATATTTTAATATTTTTAGGCAACTATGATGGCTTGCAAAGAACTAGTTCAGAGATTAGAACCTATTAAAAAGGAGTTGGAAAACTTTTCTTGGCAAAAATTAGTATTAACAGCACACTTAAGAGATATTGATTTATGTGCGCGATACATGTATGTTTTATAATAATTTGATAGCTAAATTCGCTTTCTAATTAATATATTTATGAAATATGTTCATGTATATTTAGGTTTACTGTAAAAGATGATATAAAATCATATCCAATATATGGGGCAACTATAGCAGAAGTTGAGATTGATGTATTGACCGGACAACATATTATACACAGAGTAGATTTAATTGAAGATGTTGGAAGGAGTATGAATCCAGAACTAGATTTGGGACAAGTGGAAGGTGCTTTCACAATGGGTCTCGGATATTGGACTTACGAACAGCTAATTTATGATCCGAAAACTGGTCAATTAACAAATTATAGAACTTGGGTACCGTTTCTGAATTTGTCTAATTTAATATATATGTGCAAAAAAAAATTGTTAAAAAAAAATTGAAAATATATATTTTTTTGCAGAATTATAAACCACCAGGTGCAAAGGACATTCCTGTCGATTTTCGAGTTTATTTCCGTAGAAATAGTACTAATCCATTAAGTGTTCTTCGTTCAAAAGGTAAAATTATATATTATAATTAAATTTTGATTATATTAAATTATAATTAATTGAAAGATAAAACTATTAATAGTAATTTTCAATGCATTTGATTAATCTTAATAAATTATTAAATAATCATAGCTACTGGTGAACCACCATTATGTATGAGTTATGCGATACCTATTGCAATTCATAATGCACTTAATTCAGCAAGAAAAAATGCTGGAAATAATGATTCATGGTACAATCGAGGTAAGAATGAAAAATATTTTCAAAAATTAATATATATTATTATTTTATTAACGTAACCTATTAAATTTGTTATTAAAAATTTTTTTTTCAGAATATCCTCTTACAATAGAAAAGATTTTATTAGATAGTTTAACTACTAAAGAACAATTAGTACTTTAAAAATTTATATTTTCAATAAAATATTTAACAATTTTCTTTTTTTAATATCTATCATTTATGATGTTCAATATATTTCAATTTATAATTATTCATTATATATGTTATAAATATATAATAAATATAATATATATAATAAATATATAATAAACAATTTTTTGACTAAAATGATAATTTATTCAATATTTATAATTCCAGATACATACATATTAATACAATTTATATAAAAAATATTTTTAAAGTTAATATATATAATATTTTGATTAAAAAAGTTCATCCATATTATATAAATTTTTACAACATTATTAATATTAATTATAAATATTATTAGTTTTTGTATTCTATTACATATTATATTCAATATTCAATATGCATTATATTCAATATTATCTTAAGTATTATTACTGGAAATTTATTGAATGAAAAAATTTATTTAAAATAAAAATTGTGTAATATTATAAATGTAATTATAAAAATTAAATTATAAATTTAATAATTGTATTTTCAATAATTTAATAAGCAATTCGTACTTATGAAATTCATTAGTAATCGATCGTGTAAATTAATAATTGATCATATAAATTTATTATAAAAAATAAATATATTCATAAATTAAAAAATTTGCTATATAAATTTGTGTATAGTATAGTTATAAAATTGCGCAATAACGAATTTTAAAGTTAGTGCGCAATGAATTGCATTTCAGTTTGCGCGGAGCCATAAATGTAGTATTGTTTTATTTCTATGTTTTCTTTATTAAAAATTTATATTTTTAACAAATAAACTGGTTTAAGTGATTACATTTATTTTTATTATGAGTAAATATTAGATAACATTATGAATATACCAGTGAAGTGTATTATGACTATGGAAAGAATTTTGGAATGACATCGGTAAGTGACGTAGTTTTTGATCACATAGTTTTTGCTATTCGAATATAATATTGAATATAATTCATAATATTAAATTTTAATATTATAAAAAAATGTAATCTCAAAATAAAATTTTTTTAAATCCTTTCATAACATTTTTGATAATTGTGAACTAAGAAATTTCTTATTGATTGTTAGAATCTTGATCTTATTAATGTTCATTTAAAATAGTATTATCTCGCGCGATTTTTTTAGCGGTTAAAAAATACTTGTGATGCATTTGAATATTATGTATTATTATAGATTTTAACAAATATTATATAATATTATAGATTTCATAAAGGAATAAATAGCTTTCTTTTTTTAAGATCTGAAAGAAGTTTATAAGAACTTAACTTTCTTTTTAATAAATTTTTTTTATTAAAAATAACTTAATTTAAGAATATATTTCGTATAATCAATATAAATTCTAATATATTTCTAATTGAAAGAATAGTTATAAATGATCTCGTTCATTTTTCAACAATATTGTAATTTTAGTTCTTTTAATTATATATTAAATTTAAATTCAAATTTAGACATTCATAAATCAATTAAAAACATAAAAAGAATATTTTAAAATATTAGTTTGTTGATAAAAAAAAAATCATAAAAAGTTAAATCAGCAGAAGATTATATTTTTATCTTATAAATATTTACTCGCATACTATAATATTTATTTGTATACTACATATAAATATTTTTAAATTTGCTTTGTAATAACGATTTTCTTTAATATTTATAGAATAATTGAATAATTTTGAAAGAAGTTTTATATTATAAAAAAATATACATATATATATACATATATCATTGTTAATATAATTATGACATTAGACGAAAAATTTATGTATAATTCTTATACAAAATTTGATTTAATCATAAAATTTTTGAGAAACATATATATATACATATTAAAATTTAATAATTTAACAATTCTTAACAATTTGTATAATTTCACTATAAAAAATATTTGAAATGACATTTAATTAATCATCAATATTATATTTTTATAATATAAATAAAATTTAAATTCTTTCCACTAGATGGCACAGTATACTCTTTATATGAAATCTTTTAAAAATAGGATTACTAGGAGAAATCCGTTAACGAGGAATTTTTTTTCTCTTTCTTTACCTTCTTCATGATCCCACTATTGGCATCATTATCCTTTAACTTATATTATTATCTATTATACTTATATTACTTATATTATGTAATTCTAAATAGGATTGCCAAATATTATCGAACCATAAGTCAGTCATTGTTAATCGACTTCCTTCTTTTTCACTATTTTCTTCTTAAATCACTCAAATCTCTTAAACGTCTCGATTTATTTAAAAAATACAATCTTGTTTATCTTTCTTTAACGAAACATTATATATATAAATATTAGGCTTTGCTCATAAAAACATTCTCCTAAGAGGAAAACAAATTTGATTGGTTATTTTTGGTAGATCAAATACAATCATATACAATAAAATTTATAAAATTTAGTTGAAAGTATCATTTATTTACATAATAAATAAAAAAAATGAAATTTTTTTCTTTTATTCATATATTGTTTTAGTAGACTTTTATTTATGTATTATTTTAGTAGAATATTCAATTATATTCAATATATATATTCAATATTATTATAGGTTATATTACATAGATGGAATATAGCTAAATAAGCATTTTGATTATCGTTGATTACACAAAAATAAATAAAAATTGTTTGATTATGTCATATATAAACTAATTTTTAGTTTTTTTCTTATTTAGCAAAAATTGATGTATTACAATTATGGTGTTAGTGTTTGACGTCAGTCATTGCTCATCATCGTTGATAAAATAAAATTAATTGTATTAATTCTCTGCAATAAAATTAATCTCACCATTAGCGTACATACGTTGAAATTAGTGGTAGCACAATTTTAATATACACGTTTGAGTGACATGCATGACGTCAAAACACATCATTCCAACGGAAACCTGTTTGAACTGGAATCATACGATAGCGTATCATAATTTTTCCAGAATATTACATATAAATATTTTTTAGTCTCTCATATTAAACTTAAAATATTTTATAATTATTTGAATTGAAAAATAAAACTTCATTTTTAATTTACAGAGAATATTAGTTAAAGGATCATATCATATTAGTTAAAGTTAAATTGATTTAAATTTTTCTGTTATACAATATTCATATTATATATTAAGTATTTAAGTATATTCAATTATTACGAAATCAATTTGTTGATATAACAATTATAATTTTTTAAATATAAATATATATAATTGAGTTTTGCTCTATTGTAGAAATGGAAAATATCAAAGGAGGGAATTTGATGAATTTTTCTTGGTAGAAAGTATTTTAAGATTTTAGGAACTTGTTTAGACATGCGCAATACATATTCAAAAGCAATCAGAGATCACCGCTTTTAATGTAGTAAATCGACTGATTCTTTTGAAGTGAAATAGAAAAATAGAAAATCCTAGAGTATAAATTTAAAGTAATATATATTTGTCCTAATTGTCTACTTGTCTTAATTATCATTGATAACTAATGTAAAAATAAATATTCATTTATATTGAAAAAAAAAAATGTTTTTCAATGTATTCCATATTACATTTTAAAATATAATTAATTAATATTCCAAAGTACCAATTAAAAAAATAATAGGTAAGAACATGAGATTATTTAAAAAATCATATGGAATTCATATGGAATTTATATTTAATACAGAATTTATATACAGATTTATATACAGATTTATATGAGGATTTAAAGAATTTAATAGTGTAATTTTTATATTTTTTTTCGGTTAAAATTTGAATTTAGTCGTTCTATGATCATCAATAATTATTAAAAATATTTAAGAACCGAATCGTACGATCCTTTTTTATAAAAAAGTTTTTATGATTTTTAATATTTTAATCACTCAAGTATATGCGCTAAACTTTTTCAGAAAAAAGTAAAAAGATGAATGAGAAATATGACTGAATTATAATACATACACACACACACACACATATATATATATATATATATATACAATCATAGAACAAAAATCAGACAAATATATCTTACTATATTTATATACATATTTATAACAGTTTCAAAATTATTAGATAATTCATAAGAAAAATAAATTTTCATATATATAGTATCATACATATAATATAAAATCATAAAAATAAAAAAAAGGAATAACAGAAAAATACAATATGAAAATAGTACAAAGAAAAAATAATAAAAAACGGGGGTAGTATGTTAGAGGGTTGGACGTTACAACTGCGTAATCCGCATGCTCGTAGACTCGGAACATTTCAGATAGTAAAAGCACAACAGTCGAACGAAGACCGCAGTACCGTGCAGTTCGGTTGCACCGAATTTATGTGCACGAAGAATCTTCAATTTTTTCGTGCCTTTTGCATGCCTATTCTTATTCCTCCTCTCTTTAAATCTTTTTTCCTCTCTCTCTCTCTCTCTCTCTCTCTCTCTCTCTCTTATTCTTTCTCTTATTCTTTCTCTTATAACATATCAATGTTAATCCAACCCAATTAAAAACATGAATGTACATCTCCGAATGTATATCTATTAATAGTATAACTTGATTAAAAAAAATTTATGCACATGTGTAAACAGAACGTATATTATATAAAATTAGAAAAAATTTTATGCACACATTACGTAAAATACGTAATCTATAATAGCATATAAGAAGAGATAAGAGAGAAAGAGGAATACATCTCTGTATATATAGGTTTTATACACGATGAGGCCAGCGACATATTCGCGAAACGGAAGACATATTCGCGTGCGCGCGCATGTAAGGATTGTCTGTGTATAGCTCTCAAATTTCTGATAATATGCAATGTGTTTAATTCAATCAATCTATATGAAAAAAAAATTTAAAAAATCCATTTACATTTTTATAAATTTCTGTAATAGAAATTATTATTAAATTTTTAAAATGATAAATGATTTTAAAAACAAAAAGAGATGCGTATTACTTTTATTTTCTTTTTTCCTTTTCATTTTTCTCTCTCTTAAATTTTTATATATTAACAAAAAATTAGGAAGATAATTATATAACGTTTTATGGGAAATATATTATGAAAAAATATCAGTTACTACGAAAAAACTAGGCATCCACATATAAAAATACCAACGTATTATCTTCAGTGTATAAATCCAATATACAGAATGTGCCTGAGGTTATAGATGTTCTCTGTGTCTCCGCGAAGAAGCACTATGAGAAATGAAAGAGGAGGGGTGATTAGGGTGGGGGTGGCAGAGGGAGAAGTGATTTTCCAACGGTCGTCAGCATAGTAGTGCATGCGCGGCGCGTCGCGACGCGGCGCCTCGCGGAGAAAAAGTAAGAAGTAGTAATTTCCTCTCTTCGGTTTCTTCCCGTCCGTTTCTCCTCGTAGACGTCGGATCTGTGCTACATTCTTACACGTTCCCTCGTTCTTGTTCGTTCAAAGCGTGGAACATTCTTTTGTTTCCTCTTTTTCTGTCAAACTTTATGTTCCTTTTGATGTCTTCTTTTTTTTTATCTTACAATGTACATATACGCATCTATTTTTCTCCACTTCTCTCACGTCCGTTTCTTATGTGTTAGAGTGTGTTAAAGATTTTTAACGGTGTCGGTTAAATTATTCGATCACGTTTTCTCGCTTTTCGAACCAGAGAAAAAAGCTCACCGGGAGCTGCGCGTGTATTTTTGTGCGTCGTACAGGGTCTCGTGTTGGGTCACGCCGCGCAAGAGCTAAGAGAGGCTGCTGTTTCTTCTCGCTTTATTCAAAGATTTTTCATATCTTTTTTTTTCAATTTTTTTTTTTTAAGTTCAGTTTTTCGTTAATACATGTGAAACAGATATTCGAATATCGTCTTTTTTTTTTCTTGGTTTCTTTTGGCAGTCTCTCGTCGTCCTCGGCGTGCAGCAGTGGCGACAAGCGGCAGCACCCAGTAACACACTGCGACAAGCGGGCGTCCGTGACACGATCCAGGAGAATCGAGCGATCCGTTTGTTCGTGGTTGCAAGTATACGAGTGCTCCGAAACGCGCGAATAAATGTGTCGGTCACGGTACAAGACGTGAAGCGGGGGAATATACGGCAAGTGAGTATATTTTTAGTAGCAAGCGCCAAGCGCTAAGGCAGAGTGGTATAAACGGCGCGCAGTGGCCTGATGAAGCGGCGTATGTGACATCAAATTTCTCTCTCTTGCCACCTTGACGAGACACCGAGACATCTTGCAGACTATCAGCGCGCTGTGAGTATTGCCCCGAACCCTAACCGATTGATTCGCCATTCCGCAAAGCCGCTCTCTGCCCCGCCTCCCCCTTCATCTATGTGTGCCCACCCAATACCATCTCCTCTGCAAGTTGATGCGTCCTCTCACCCCTCCGATCATCCGTTAGATCATGGCTCATACTCGTGTCTTTATATACGCACGTGTACGAAACTTTAAGTATATATTTCTATTTACGATTGTACAAACTTTGTTTTTTCTTTTTTCTTTTATTCGTTTACATATATACATTAATTCTTGTGCGTCCATAATTTTTTTAATTTTTATTTCTTTTTCCATATAATTTTTCTAACTTATCTTTTCAATGAATTATACATTTCAATGTTATTTCGACAATGTATCTCTTTTTTCTAATCGTAATTTCGAATTAATTTCTTTCGGAGTTTCAAGATACATTCAGATTGTCGGATTGCATATGCATGGATCACTGCACGATAGTGACATTACGAAAATTATGTAACCGTCCGTTCGCTCGATCTGTCCTTCGTTCCTTCCCTCTTGGTTCCTCTTCTCCTTCCTCGACCTACCTACCCTTGATACGTGGCTCTCGCTGCTACAACCTCTCCCCACTTTCAGAGGCCACCCCTACGCCGCTCCTCTTGCCCTCCCACTTTGCACCGGTCGCTGTTGAACATTATTTCGGGAGTGCCAGCCAGCTTGCCAGAGCTCACGTGCAATAGACTGAGACAGAAAGACTTACTATCCTTGTAAACGGTCTCTCTTTCCTCGTGTGTCCCGGGATCGGACAGGCGCATTATTACGCGCAGCTTTTGCTCGCGTTGCATTCCTCTATTGCATTGTTTGCCTTTTTCCACTTCTTATTCTTTATCTTGAACTTCCACCCTTTCATAGAATAGGATTTACGTGAATGACTAGATGTCTCGTATAGTATTGTAGTGATAACGTAAACTTATCTGTTGGAGTATTCATATAATAATATATTTTCAGTTATCTCCTTGTTTGTCATTTATCATCTTCACTATCCATAATATAATTATTTCAAATTAGTTACAATGATTTGGTTTCTTTAAAAGTAATATACAATAAAATTTCATTGGATAGTTTCATTTTATTATAAATTATATAAGAACAGGAAATATTATTATTCGCTGATTTCGTTGTTTCGTGATAATCAAAATCGAAGATAGTTCGAATACACGAATGAAGAAATTAACGAAGTATTCTATTTCTATATTCTATCCTGAGTATATACATGTATGTGCGATTTAGTAGTTTGTCGTTTTTCGTTATAACATTTCATTGCGTTGGAAATATTTATTTTCTCGGAACACAATCTTGAATTACACAAATTTAAATTAGATATAAGCGAATTATTGAGTGCTTCTATAATATTTGTTGCATTTTTCTAATAGAAAATTATATATGATTCAAACAGATATAATAATACATATAATAAATTAAGATTTAATAACAATTTTATAATTAGAATGAATTAATCTGATATACAGTAGAAAGGGTCGTGATTAATCAGACCCGAGTAGTCTTCATGTTTTTAACTCGGTCATTTTCGTTGTAATAATCATGCATAAAATTTCTCAACCCCCACTATTGGTGACGACCATCGGATTCCCCCACCACGTTGCCATGGGCGCACGCCTTTGCTCTCCCCGATTCGCTTTGTCCTGAAATACATCGAAGGCGTTTACACACACATACACACACCAGCTTTCTGTCCTCGTTTTGTCCTGCTTTCATAGTATCGACCCAATACGGCTGACCTAGACTCACTTGCAAGGAAGTGTACTCAACCTTTGACACTTACTCGCGGGCTGACTAAACCGACCGCGATCGATAGCCCGTCAAAACTAATTACGCACGTGGAGAAAACGATCGTGTAAGATGATTAGTTTAGTGATTGGTCTTATTGCATCCCGTTTTGAAACGCACATTATTTTAGTACTTTTTATAGTGATTACATTATATAAACAAATTCATCAAAAGATCGCATTATCATACTCAATAAATTAGTTTCAATGAATGATATATAATGTTTATTAAGTCCGGAAGGAAAATAAAATTATAAAAATTAAAAAAATTAACAATTATTATAATTAAAGAGATGATAAAGGTTATACATTAATTATTAATATAAATACAAAATAAGTATTCAAGGAATAATTAAATTTATGTATGTTTTTATGTTTTTCTTAGTGATCGGAATAATTTGAAATGATTATATAGTGAATATTTATAAAATAAATGGAAAAACTTATTGTTTTAGGAACTGACAATCTGTTTCTATTTCGTATACATATCTTTTCAATGAAAGGTTAAGTTTTAGCCATGAGTTTATCGATCTATCAACCTATATTAGAATTAACGTATACATAAAAAAAATTATATGGTTGTGTATCAAATATAGTTCTTGATAGAATATCGTAAGAAGAATATACAAACGGTAGGAAAAATAAAATTACTATTACCTTTATTTGTTCTGAATTTTTTTATCATTGTATTAGAATAGAAATGAAGATCAATGATTGTTATATTTTTAAGAAATTTATTATTTTTTTTAGAAATGGTATTTTTTATGAAGAAGATTATAAAAATCATAACAAATTCTATAAATTCTAAAAATTTTAATGCTACAATTCGTAGCAATTAAATTAATAATTTAAGCGTTCATAATTCGTAGAAAGAAAAGATCTTGTTTTTCAATTACTTTATTACTTCAGAAATTGATTTTTTTTATATTAAAACAGATATTTTTATATATATTGTAAATTATATTATTTTATTCTGCCTTAAATAGTTTTTTTTTTATTATAAATGAAACTATTCTCTCAAGAAAAATTTGTTAATTGCATTATTTTATTGCAATTTTTGTATTCATAAATTTTTGCAAGTTAATTCCATATTATTGAATTTATATCAAAATATTATCGAATATATAGATCTCATTAAAAAAAGTTTTGTATTTCAGAAAATGTTTCAGAAAATTTATTTAAAATATGAAAATCCTTAATTCTTCTCCATATGAAATCAATACTTTAATGGATTTGAAATATTCTTATTATTTATCTAAAAATGATATTTTAAAAACAATATTTTATATAAAATTATATATATTTTATAAACAAAATCAAATAAGATTATATGATTATGCAAATTTTTTTCAATATTTTTTAAATATTTCTTAAATATTTAAAATCACTTATTATAATATATATACTCTATATCTAATATATATATATATATATATACTCTGTATACAAGAATTTTTGCTATACAAGATTTTTTTAAAAGTTTATATATATATATATATATATAAAAGATAATATTGCACATATTGCGATTTTTAAATATCGAAAGTTAATTTTGTTTTCAGATTATATCATTCGATATTGTACAAAATTGTCTCTTGAAATTAATTGATATTCAATCAGGGCATGATCATGAATTTATGAATTACGTTTCATGAATTTATCGATTTTAAAGAAAAAATTTAATTGCGCTGATGTTTCGAATCAAAAATGAAAAGGAACTGTACGCGCCACGCATGCGTAATGTAACTATGTAATCGTCATCGGGTCTTCCCATAACGATTTTTCATAAGTTAATTGTTTGTTACCGTAAGACAAAATAGTTAGTTTTACATTGATATGTTTGGTTCGACACATTAACCACTTGAGACCCGATCAAGACTGCCACGTGCTGGGAATTTATTGACCCGTGATATATACGAAAATTTTACAGGAAGTATGAAGTTATATAGTTCCCGGCGCGCCGCAGACACTATCTCATCTCTGTCTATTCTGTGTGGCTGGTACGCATCATAGTGGATTAAAAATAACTAGACACGTGTGTGAACTGATCGAGCGTGCGCGGCATCCAGAAATAAAGCAGCAGCTCGTCGATTAACTTTTTCGAGGCGAAACTTTGCCGCTGGCCAATATGCATCGTTAGTAGTTACCATCATCGTTGCCACTATGCTTTTTTTTTCTTCTCTTTCGATATTCGATGACTATTGACTTCTTGTTAACATATTATTTTAATATATTTGTCGATTGCTAGCATTCATTCTGGAGACGCTTTTTTGGAATGTGTTTACATATGTGTATTCGAATTAGAACCGATCAGTTAAATCATCATTTTACGAAAAAGATTTTTGCACAAAAAAATATAGTATGAGATTAATCTATGCAATCTAACCTTATTTTCTGAGAAGTTTTGGACCAATTCGAAGACGCTTTGATTGACGGTTTAAAATCAAGGTACTTTTTGTTTTTTTATATCGTATTATTTTTTTCATCATTTAATTTGTTTATTTTTTTTATTTCTCATTGTTTTTATATTATTATTATTATATTATTAATAACTTTGTAGAAAGTGTCAGATTCCTAGGGAATTTTCAGTGAATATAAAATAATATAATATAATAATATAATATAATATATATATATCTTGGCGAAGTATTTCAATTTATTCCACAATACGTCACATTCATTCCTTTTTTATTACTCTATTTATTAATCTATTTTATTAATTTAAATTGTAAAATGGTTTTTTAAATAAATAATTTAAGAAGCTATTGTTAAAGGGGAAACGTTTATAGGGCAATCGAAACATTTGTTTAATGTATGATATAATATATATATATATATATATATATATATATAATATATAATATGATATATATATAATATATATAATATGATATATATAATATAATATGTTTTGAGTTTCCAAGGCAAATGGTTTGAAAATTTCGAGATTCCATCGAAATGAATTTCGCATTCTCACTTTGGCTCTTAGCCACTTCTTTATCGAAGAGGATTTATACATATAGTATATATATGTATATATATATGTCAATATCTATAAATATATATATATATATATTGACTGAGATAAGTTTTTTACTCTTATTCAAGACTTTTGTATAAATTTATATGGCAGCGACAATCATTCTTGCATTAGAATTTTTTATTTTTCCTCAT